AAGGAATTACAATGAAATAACAACAACAAGCTCCGGCTATAACAGAGAATCTACCTGCTACAAAGGCCACAGTACTGACCAGAAATTTTAACATTTCAATCCAATAGATGGCTATTTCTCTAACAACTGTTCTCTCATATCAACATGCTTCTTCGTTTCCATCGGAATAAACTCGTGGTCTTTTCTTCGCGGCTATTCTTTAGGAAAATACAATGCAAACCACGAAATTTCGTAAGATTTTTGAGAGATAACATCCAAGAAAAGGATAGATTAAACATGGTTTTGACTTTGGTTAAGGACAAATATCAATCACATTAATTTTGCACTCCTTAATTTCGTGGCTAGTTCCTCCAAAATATGAAACTGTGAATAGAAATGAAGATTTTGAAAAGCAATAAAAGCACGTTATCGGATGAAACACCACAAAACTCATCTTGCCGAATCAAGTAGACATACACTACGTGGCCGATGAAAATTAATTCACACTAATTTGTTGATGTCTTTATATTTTCTTTTATCTTCTTGCAACTTCTTGCAAACTTTTCTCTATCATGAAGGCGGTTTGCATACAATTCAGGGAATACCCCAAATGTGTATTTGAAGACATGATACAAGCATATATGGGTGCTGTACTCGTGATCGCATTAAATTTACAGGAAACTCTTCGGCAACCTAAACACCAGGACCCACGCCACCGGGGTGGGAGCAGAGGGGCCATGCCCCCCTACTTTTTGGTAAGCAAAATCATTTCCATAGAGGCCCTGTTTTGAATCACTAAATTCAAGTTCGATGTATAGAACTTGACCCTTCCACCTTGAAATTCATGGCGTAGGCACAGCGTACAAATAAACAGTTTGTTTTCTAGTAAATAGATATGCTGATGGTTGACTTATAAGGGCGTACAGTCAGACTAGGTCAGTAGCTTAAAACTATCAAGATGAGAAGCTCTTGAAATATCTTGGTACATACAGGACCCCTTAATTCATTAGCGTTCTTTCATTTGTTACGTGTATTAGAGAGACTTGTTTTTTACTTAGGGCTACCAGTACAAAAAGGGGGAGGGGAAAAAAGAAGCCCCCATCGCAATTGCCAACAGCTCGAAAAACATCCAGGGGGGGTTGTGCGCTTCGCATTTGGGGTATCCTAAGCAGACAAGACAACAACTGAAAACATTCGGGTGAAAATGGATTCTTGACCACCAAACCCAGAGCCATTAGCCGCGGTAAAAAGCAACATAGCTAAAGGTCGCCATTCATAAATGTGTTGCGCAGCATGGATTCGAATCTGAGAGAAAATTTAGAATAATATTCATCCAGCATCACTAATACGAGACTGAAAATGAACTTTGTTAACCTCCCATTCGCCAGATGCTCTGTAAAGTGCAAGTTTTGCGTAAGACAGAAGCGTTCAAATGATTCAAGCTTCAGTTAATATTTGCAAATCACTTTGGTGACCACGCTAGCAATATGTAACCAGTACTTATCGGTGAATAGAAGCCATAGTGGGAGGAAAACATTGATTTATTAGAGTCGTACAGCAGTGTGTAACCGCAAAGGGAGACTGTTGTTTCATTTTACTGAAACGAATTGCATCGAGATGGGTTAAACAGGATGTTTCCGAAAGAAAGCTTATATGTTTTCTCAAGAATACTAGGCATATACAAAAAAAGGATAACACGGTTTGATTAAGGCCCGGGTCATTCGAGTACTGTAATGTCAACGATTGCAAGACAGAAGTATTGAATTAACATCATAGGACTAGCAATTTTTAGTTTCCTTCATCACTGTTTGAGAAGGGGAAAGTAGTTGATCCAAGCCAAAGACAAGCTGAATAAGGGCAAGAAACGACGAGGTCAAAGGGTAATTGACAGCGAGAAATGTTTCACGAATTATATTAAGCAATACCCTTGCCCTAGTCCCAAGCAGAAGGTCCCAGGAGAGCATGCTTTATTTGCTAGAATATCAAGCATCTAAAGGATCTCTTAGAATGATTAAGAATCAAATTTCTTCTACAATCCCGGACAAAAATAGTTGAGATTTTTCAAGAAAACTTTATGCTTTCTCTTTCCTTTAAAAAATAGCCTCCCCTTTCCCCAATTCAATGTTGAATGCATGATTTTGAAGCAAAAATTATAGAACTACAAATCCAACATTGCTTCGGGGGGAAAGGCAGGGATTCGAATTTACAGGAGCAAAGTAAAGTAGAAAATTACAAAAATTGCATTTTGTCTCAACATTTTTGTCCGGGATTGTAGAATTCTAAAATCGCAGGCAGGCCTTACGGCATCATTTGTCGTGGAAGATGGGTCTTTGATGACGTCATTGGCATTAAATCCAATTTTTATTCTTTGATAGTCCTCTAAGCTCACCCCCTGCCCCTGCCTGATCTATACAAACCGGTAGCTACCTGTATTTACCTAACTTTCCGAAATCACAAATTTAATAATATCCAGTTCCCGCAATCATTTCAGTTTCAACGAACACTGGTCATAGCGAACTATTTCTTTTGCTTCCTTCAGAGTTCGTTATCTAAGGATTCTACCGTAAAAAGTGCAAACTACTTCAAAAGTTTGATGTGTCTAAAGTAAAACGGCTGCGTAAGTGTCTCCGTTAGGCAAGTTATGCTGTTTTTATTCTGGAAAATCCTATTCTTGAAACCATTACTAACAATACATATTCTGCCAGATTCTGTCTTTTTTCAATCTTATGAAAAACAGTGCAGAAATTTGTAAGGCCAAAGTACGAGACATAAAAGAACACTAAGAGTCCTGATTGGGGTTTACGAGAGCGTCTATAGAACGGAGAAAAAATCAGTTATTTGTATAAACATTGGCTAGAATTCGGTGTTTTATGGATTAGAGACAAGTTTACGTTTTATGCTCAACAGCTGAAGGTAAGTCCAATAAATTCTTACCAATGTGAAAGTGAATTTTGTACTTAGTCATCTGATACGTCATATGCTGAATCTTTGTTCCGGGTTCGTAATTGTCCTCGTCCGAATCTGCTCTTTCTTCACTTTCAGAATGCCTCTAAAAAACGATCAAAAATGTACCACGTAAAGACGTTATTGACGAGTATGGTGTTTCTAATGCAAAAAGTAACACTACTAAAATGAAATCAAACTTACCTAGTTGCACAAAACTCCAAATACCCTTGGTTAACCACAGCTGCCATAGTTCTCAAAGCTCTTGTCAGTCCAATTTAGCGATGATGTCTTTAGACAAAAGATAAAGACATACAACACGAATCGACTGTGTAGTATGACGCCCTGGATCGACAAGTCTTTTTGACAAAGAGTTAACAGAAAAGTAGATTTATACTTTTATTGGCTTAAAATGTCTAGGATCAATATAGAAATTAAATCCTCCATTCAATTTTTGATTCACCCATCAGATCTAATACTTCCTTTATTAATAAAAAAATCCATCGTTAGGTTATAAATAGTTGCTTCATTGCTACCGTAATTTCGATTCAACAACTAGGTGCAACCTACATCTACCTAATCAAGGAAAAGGCAACGAACCATCCTCTCGCCCATCCATTGAAATCATGGCGTTGCCTTACACATGATGCTTCAAAGTTATACCGTTTTATGTCCTATAAAAGTAACTCACTGACTACTCTGTTAAACAGAGATGCCAACAATTGAGAAATGAAAAAGACACACCACAAGAAAAAAGTTGTGTACAGCGAACCAGTTTGGCGTTGCCTCCTCCATTTAAAGGGACTTCTTGACGGCGATAAAATTCAATAGCACAAAAACGCTTCAAGGGAATGTGAAACTTCTATTACTTCACCAGGTTTTGCGTTCCAAGAAAGGGAAGCATGTGTTCAAAAGAAACTCTATCTGCCATTGTAAGGGCAGTTACGGAGAGACGTCAAATTTGTACCGCACGAGGTCTTAGCTGTTAACATCACGTGGCTATATATCTACATTCATTCTAATGAACGACGCTTCAAGAGTTTCAAGCAATATCTCTTATAAATTGTTGGCTCTGTAGACTCTCAAAAAAGGCGATTGACCCCCTCCCCCTCTCTAATCCCTCCTTCGTTAAACAGCATCTCAAAATATTCGGAAAGGATGAAGTCATGCTTTCATGTGGTATACAATACATTACATCCCTTCATCGAATTTCAAAAATCCTTAGCCCAAGACTTTAAGCCGCAGGTAATGCTGAAAATCAACAATTTAATCATGCAAACCGGATCGTAATTAAGATAGGAAATCCTGGTCTAAATGACTTCACAACTGGACTCTCTATCCAACAAATAGCTGAAACGCAGAGATCACACAACAAAACCGATAGGAGAGTGCTTAGTCCTAAATACCTTTTTAATAAATATAAGGATGTGCTGCTTTTACATCGAGCAAAACAGTCTAAAGAGATACATTTGTTCAGTACCTAATTCAGCCATCCATGGATCTTTGTTTCGATATAGAATTGGTAACGAACGTGTAAACACGAGACTGACTTTTCAGGTATAGCAATAACGACCAAAAGTTGTAACCAAAGGGCTTACTACTCACTCATAACTTCTGTCGTTCACTTCTTGAGCGGCACAAAGGATGAACACAAAACACAAACTACCTTTCTGATGCGCCTTTGTTAACAAACAGCAGAAAAGAACTGCTCTATCTATCTGTTGCTAACAATGAAGAGACCTGTATGCTAAACAAACTCTTGGCATGTTGAAAATTCTCTAGTTTACTAACAAGATTTTTGACCAAGGTATGTGTATCTGTAGATCAGCCTCTTGATAAATGACTTTTAAAAATCTTTCGAAATGGAATATTTAATGGCGGATTCATTACTATTTAAAAACTGCGAGTCGGTTCACACACTAGGAGCGCAAATCATGACAAAGAGGCACAACAAGACATCGGTATGGGGAAAAGTCTTCTCGTTTGCGGGAATTTTTCTCAAGTTTCCAGAGTTTTCCAACAGCAATCCTATGACCAGACAATGAGAAGATCCGTTACACAAATAAAAGAAACGAAGCTAACGGGGCCTATAAATCTTTGAAGACTGACACATGTGACAAGAATACTGGTACTGTAAATTTCCCGTCTAGAACTTGCTTCAAAAATTATCAAAGGAATAAAAAAGATTGTGACAAAACATGACGACATTGTTTGTATAAAACTAGATACATCTGCGGAATATCCAAGTGACAACAAATTTCAAATTCAAGTGCAATACATGAAATTTTGTGAAAGAGCCTAGATCTACAAGGAGAACATTTAACAAACGATGAATTATCCCAGTTCCGTTCCGTGCATTGAAAAGCTGCGAGTTAGGTGTTTTCTGTCATTATTTAAATTTTCAGTGCATTTGGAGGATTCAATTAGCAAGTTATAAAGGTATAAGCAGACAATTTAATCTAGAGCGAAAATTTAAGCAGGGATAATTCGTGGGATACTGAGCTCAAGCTTAAGGAATGCATCCAGCAGAAACTTGAAACTTTTCTCTATTCTCCCTTAGCTTTAGAATCTAAAAAATTATGTAAACTGCGTTTTTAAACACCGAAGAGTCAATCTGATTGAATTGTCCATTGATGATAAATCAAAAGTTGTTAATTGATGGAAGTTAACGTTACTTTTAGACTATACTGCGATTAATTATGACATTGTCCCAAATACTGGATTGTGCCTTGCAATGCTTGGACCACATTCATCGTACTGTTCTTTCGTGTGGCAAACTGAATAGAATTCCGGCTGGAAAATAAAAGAGCTAAATCAACAACAGATTGCTAAAAACAGGCTCTACAGAACGCAAAAACCCGCCTTTATATCTTCTTGGCAAAGCCTCTAAAAATGTGGTTCAAATTAGGCATCTGCTTGATCAACCTGGGTAATTTTATTCAACAGTTGCCTCATTTTAATAGCCATTGCTGGGCGCAATTCTCATAGCTCATAGGTTAGCTTTCGATCAGATAGTTACAGAGTAATTGGGTAATTGTATACAAACAAGCCTTTCTGTTTGACTAGAACTTTTTCTAAGGGTTTGGGAAATTTTTGGCCAGGATTAGAGATCTGCCACCCGTACACTCCGATACTCTGTCTTACTTCTTTGTGCCATCACTAAAACTAAAAAATTAGCTTAAGAACAGTCAAAATGGCCTTTCTAGCAAAGTGGGAGATTTTTAAACTATGCGTTATATATATATAAAACACATCCAATCAAAGCTTTTTGGCTACAATATGACCTAGAAATGGACAAAATGTAAGAGTTGCCTTAAGTCGGCAAAGATTTGCCTTATGTTAGTGATCCATAAACGTTTCGTAAGAAATTTTGTATCAAAAAGCGACCCGAAAAAGGATAGTTCCCAATTTCCCAAGCAAAAACAGAGAAATCACTCCTCCAGACATCCTGTTAGATATTTTCCTCGTATGATTACAAACACACAGGTACATTGCAAGCATGAGATATAAATATTATCAAGTGAACGCAAGTTTCTGCAATAGTATATCACAGCCGATGGGCACTTACAGTTGATGCCAACATGCTTCCACCGAACCATACTGCGTATCTTTGCATAGAGTGGGTTATTACGGCAACATCAATTGGTTTAGGCTGAGAAAAGAAAGAAAATTCTAAATTAGAAATTATTACCTTGAATGTCTAAAGAAATTTGTCAATCTTCTCGGTCGGCCAAAGCGAATATTCCCACGACAAAATAAAGTAAAATGAGGCAAAGGCGGCACAACCCTTATTTGCATTATTCTCCAAAACTACCAACTTACGATATAATATCATACATAAACCCATATCGAATCACAGTATTGATCAAATAGTAGAAAAAAGTATGATTTCCAACGACTTACTTTAATTCTTCCTTGACTCAGAGCCTCGCTTTGCTTCAATCTCGCATCTACAACACGCTTTACATCTCTTTGCAGCCTCCTTCCAAAGTCTCGGAACATTGTGGACCCACCAGATAAGACAATATTCTGAAGTCAAACAAAAAACAACAAATTAAGACTGAATAGGCTAGTTTTTATTCAAGATAAAATGCAAGATAAAACGCTATAAAAAATTTGTACAACCAATGGAAATAAAATTATTGGAATTCTTCAGCTGAACTTTTCTGAAGTTGCAAAAAGTCATTTATGTACACATATTCGGAGAATGCTTAACGTTTAAGTCCCTTCTTTCGATTTGACACAATCGCCTTTCTCATTTATTAATTTCTATTCAAGTCTAGGGGGCTTCTGCTAGATTTGGCCTTTGAATTTTTCGCAGCCCGTTAAACAAATCTCCAAAGGTGTTAAGCTTGATTGGTTTGACTTCAAGTTCCCCAGAAACGCAATTGCACTTAGATCTTTTAGGTTTAGGTTAATCACAGAATTAAGGTTACACCACTACAGCCCCCTGAAAGTGTTGCGCGGTTCATTAATAATCATTGATGCAAGATCTCGTGTCTCTTTTCACCGCAGTTTTAAACGATAATACTTAGAGTTATGCACCAAAATGAATAAAATAAGAAAATATGTCTCCTTGCTTATATATTAGTTTGCAGCAAGGTGAATGGTAAATTATCACTAATTTAAAAGAGCCTCTATGGATGAGCTTCAAAGGTACAGATAAAGACTGACAGGAAACAAGTTTCATTAGCACACTAACCTTGTAAAGGGGACGTCGAACATCAATGGGACAGTTCTGAATGACAACATCAACCGCCTCTGAAATCGAGGTCGTGAAGTCTGGGTTTGAAAACTGCAATAGAGGACAAAATAAGTGAATTTTGATTTCTGAAACATAGTAACCTATAGAGTATAGACAGTGGCGTAACTCAGTTTAGGGTACACCAGTTCCATAATTGAGGGCCCCCAATTAAAGGGGCCCCAAAAGATGCTTATGACATGTTTTTAAGCATGGAATTCAGAGGTAATTTTGATATGCTTTACAAACAAGATAGGACCTTTTGGCAAACCGTCAATAGGGCCCCAGTCTCTGTTCTTTTCCCAAGGGCCCCAGGCGACTTCGTTACGCCGCTGCCTAAAGACACAAGAACTGGCCTGCAAGCCTGTTCTAAAAACAACAAGTGGATTTTGCAACATCAAAGTAAATTGCTTTATAAATAAATAAAGAGTTTCACCGTTGAACCAATATCTTAATGAGCTTCTCAAATACAAGACTATAGCCTAGGCAAAAATTGGGTGATTTTCAACTCGTTTCAACAAAAACAAGATCGTCTATCAGAAAAAAACACGAGAAACGTAAACAGGTTTGACCAGACATGGATAAAAGATTGGAAACCAAGTACTAAGCATGGGGGTATACAACACAATGCTTATAATGTATTTCTAATACTTTTGATCAATGGATTAATGATATTTTTTAGCATAAAAAATAATAATTAACGAGACTGAAATTTGGTTGATAAAGCCACACAAAAAAATTTGGCATGCAATGATCAACGATCTTTGTCATTTTGAAAAAAGTGTATAACTATTTCCGGGAAAAAGACTGACACCGCATATCCTCTCCCGTAAAACAATGTTTGTAAGAGTTTAAATCATAGCTTTCTGAAAGTAATATACTGGACATCAGGGAGCCGTTAAAACTGCATAAAAAATATTCCTTTAATATTTTATTAGTATATTCCTTAAATTTAATTTATTTTGAAAATTTTATCTCGTGACATTGGATTCTCGTCGTCGTATTGCTTTGTTCCTGAATATCTTTCGTAACATCACTCATTGCAAGATTCACAGAATCCGGCGGACAGCCTATCCTGCGGTTCTTCGTTCTTAACATAAAAAATATTGTTTGAAGGAAGTAAGGGATGCAGTCTAAAATGTTTGAAATTTGGTGTAGCGTGCCGAAACCTTTGGCTGGCACTGTAGCAAGGTCACTCGATAGCGGTCACTCGAGAGGTTATTTTTTGAACTCCCCTTGCAGTTGTGTGAATAATAGAAACCGCGTATGAATAAATATATTTAAAAAATCTAAAACATTCAACCCAGATACGCTAAGTTCCTAAATGTATACAAAACTGTTCTCAAAAACCATAAGATTTAAAACATACTTCTGGATGGAAAAAGATTTCAGGTCCAAGGAAGCGCTCATATCCGACATCGACCGAAAAAGGTTTCCTTGTGACGCTATTCACACCATCATATTGCTTGATCCACTTAGCAGGGTCTGAGTCATACTTGTTAAACTCCTTTGCTATATCTGGACTGGTGTAGCAAAACCGCTCCTGAAGAAATGACAAAGAATGTGGTCAATGTCAACCACTAGTAAATTGACACCGATAATAATGATGTGGAAACTTTGAGAAGTTAAGGCCGTTAAACGCTTTAATCCTCATTAACCGTTTATATGTTATACATTTTTGTGGTCCGTAGTTCGATAGTTTTTAAGGTTAAGCTGAAAATTTCTAATTAAATGGCCTAAAAATTTATACACCAAGCATTTACATAGCCCAAAACTGCTGCAAACACCATAAATATATTACTGGGCACTTTGTGAATTTTTTTCATTTCTTTTCTTGTCACTGAGGTTGAGATTTAAAAGAGTAAAAGAGTTGCAAAAAACCAGGTGATAATGGTATACCTTGATAGCCTTGGCTGTCTCTAAAGACTGCTCGACCGGGATTCCAGTTTCTCTTTCCCTTAGCAGTTGCTGGATAAAGTAAGTAATGTCCCTACCAGCAATTGGAATGTGCTTGATACAGCTTCCGATGACATATCCTTCAGCCTGTAATCCAAACACAAGGATTGAAAATGAATTAATGCAGGACGGAGAAACAACAATGATTATACCAATATGTCAATACTCTCCGGGCGGGACATATGGGCGAGCAAGGGTTTAAAATGACACAGACGATAAACGGGTGGTGAAATATAAGGCAAATAGCAAACAAGACTTGCACCATGACTTAGGAGAGACATGCCACTTTTCTAATTTTTTATCTTTCCCGTGTCGGTAAATCTACTCTACACAAGAAATACTGTAACTGAGACAGTATAGAGCGTATGTCTGTTAAAAATGAATTCCGGTCAATCTAAAGCGCTCAACGGATTATTAAATTGCCAAGCTAACTCCGTCACAAAAACAGCAATTCCTTGCACACGCTTGAAAACCAGCATGTTTATGCTTTGTTTGTGCTTTTAGCATAATTTCAGCCAAACAGCAGTTTCATTTGAACGAGAGATAAAAATAGCTGCTTTCCTCTCGCGAGTTGCAGTACATATAAATACAGTTAAGGGGTTAAAGCTTATACACGGGACTTACAACTGGGATCACGTGGGTAACACCGTCTCCCGAGTCAATGACAGTTCCAGTCAAAGTTCTCTCGCCAACTTGCCTGGACGTCCACGATGCAGCTAAAGCCAAGACAGCCTAGAAAAATAAACAACTGGTGACAAAGCTATAAAAAAGGGCTGAGGGAAACCAATAAAAAATATCTAAAAAGAATAAAGAATACGTCAAATAATTTCGATACTTGAAATAAAGAAACATATAATATCCATACAAAGAATGTTCATGAAATATTAATAATGCCAGATATTAAAAGAAAATACCCAAACATGTTCTTTTAAGTCAAGAGGTAGGAAAGCACGACAAGATAGTGAAATTCTCTATGACAGGATTACTGTCAATTTTCTATAAAAATATAAAACTCATTTATATGCTTTAAACTGTAGTTGGCTGTCAGGACAGAATCTGTATTGCCCTTATCTTTTTGCCTTGGGAATACCCAGCTAGAAAAACCTAGCAGCACATTTCATTTTTATACAAGACCGTAAATGCCAAGGTGAGAATCAACGATTTCTTCCTGTTTAATTCAAAACCCACCAAATCTTTGAAAAAGAGGGACGAAATAATTCTGAAAAGTTGATATTGCAAATTAACACTGCGAATGCTGAAAACTGACTCCAATAAAAAATGCTGATGCAGAAAGGTGTTCCAGAGTTAGTAGAATGCCTTGGTACTGTTAAAACTTCTCTTGATAAATGTAATATCCAAAAATTTTGGCAAAAAACCGGTTTATGAAAAAATGAAAACATGAATTGTAGAGAGGAGCAATTTCATCCATTTGATGAGCGTTACCTGAACAGCGATGTACAAGCCAGGAACATTGAAAGATTCAAACATAATTTCTACGAGAAAAAAGAAACACTACTTTGGATGCAGCGCTACTTTGGATGAAAAATCTTAGTTGGAAGTTCGATACAGGTAGGTGAAACTTTATATTCTGAAGGTTTCCACCTTATTATTGAAGCTTTTGTTAAACATACAAGTGAGAAGAAGAATGACTTCGTCGATCTTGTGGCTACCTAAGATTAAACTTGAATTGTCTTGTCAGGGCTAATAAGGAGGCAAATAAGATTAAAATACAAAGATATAAATAAACAATTTTCGGCGGCACATAATTGAAAATGTCTTTGAAAAATGAAACATTTCAAAACACACAGAATCATCTGAAACTAACGCCCGGTTATCGTTCAGCAGTTTAGAACCCATTTACATGAAAATGAAAAAAAACTGCTGCTGTTTAGACATATTTTAGATAGGCAAGCAGCACTAATTGGGCAACCTTTACAGGCATGTGCTAGCGCTTCTGCTTGGCCTATTTAGATCCATAACTGAGTATTTAGATTTTTTCTAGCTTAAGGTTTTCGATCTAGGTCCTGGCGTTTATATCCTGAAGATTGTCAGAAAAAAAGCTTTCGTATGTCAGAAAACTTTTACATTTTTCAAAGCCATTTTTTACATGTCAGTTAAATTATCTAGAACTAAATAAGCTACGTCACCTAAATTGACTTGATAATTCGAGAAAAACTTGTGCAAAGCAAGCGTTCAGAAGATGACACAAATTGGATCCCTAAAACAAAGGATGGGTTAGCATGATATCTAAGTGGTTGAAACATACGTACCAGCTGTGTACTCTCTGTTTTCTGGGGTGTTAAGTGGAGGCTCAGTCTACAAATATAGATAAAATGAAAAATATAAGCAAAAACATTCTCTTGCCCAAATTTTTGCTCATAACTTCAATTGTTCTACAAATATATATACTAAATCATAACCGACATCTTACAAGCGTGCTGTTTAGCAATTTCATAATATGCGAGAGAAATTGCTAAATGACATTACTGATGTTAAGCTAATCTAACATTGTCGTTCAAAATAGAAAATACGGGAGGACAGACTAGCACTTTAAAGGAGAAAGGGTAAGTTGTGTCAGTGAGCGTTTATGGGTAATGCTTTTATCATAAATGAAGTTTTTTGTTTTATCACAAATAAAGATATCAGCTTATCCAAGTTTTCAATAATTTCTATGGTAATATATACACCTGGATAACATACTCAGCTGCTCTTGATATCCTAAATGCTGAAATTATATATATCTGATTTTTTCTTTCCTCCTATTCCTCTACCTATTGTTCTCTAACCTCGAAGCTAGATACTCCAGCTAAATATGGGAGACTTGGCAACCATGCATCCTTATTAGTAAGTGACCATTATCAATGTGGGCCCAGAAGCCATTCATATCCTTGGGCATAAAAAAATTAAAAGTTTTAGATCTTAATCTAGATGCCTGCTAGCCATCTCTGTACCGAAATTCGTTAGAAAAAAATGTCTATTTGACAATTCCATTCTAAATACAAAATAAAGAAAATCTGTGTTATGTTTTACCAGTAAAAAATAGTGGTCTTCTGGTTCTGCACGTAAATATTTGAAAATACATTGTTCCCAAAACCGTTCCTAAAATAAAGAGAATAATATTGAACATTTCATAGGAAACTTGCAATATCCAAAGAAAAACTGGAAGACCTATATAAGAAACAATGGTGTTTGGTTCAAGTAAGATAAGGACCTAGGAGATATTCTGCAATTTTTTCATTGTAGCAGAATATTTGTAGATTTTTAGAACAGTATTTCATATACCAAAAAACTTATTTTCATAGTCAAGTATGGTAATGTAATTTTTTCTAAGGTATTGTAATTTGTATGGTAAAGTTTTTTCTAAAATTGAATTTAAAGGAAGTCAGCTTCTGTTGGTTTTTGTATGAATGGTAGGCAAATTTTGTGCAAAATTAAATTCAGAAAAATACCATCTTGTTAAGGATTCTTATTTCTCATAGATAAGATATATGACAAGATAAGGGTCATTCTATTATTGTTTTAGAAAAAAGTACAATCTAACAATTTGCAGATCACTCCTGTTCTATACACCAAAAGCGTAAACAGCTCAGGCCTTGTGAGAAGCAAAAAGCAAGCGCTTTACAAACTGAGCACCGTCAACTTTCTAGGCGCTAGATTGAGCATCATAAAATAGAGTCACATCGCCCTTATGGAACGATTTCAGTAAAACTTTTTTCTTCATCTTTTTGGTACTTCTTAATAAAATCAATGTACTACATGCACATTGTTAGATTGTTGTATAGTCTACATGCTTGTGTAAAGAAGTTGCTAGGCGAACTAAAGTGCTCCTGATAAAAAACCGCTATGAATGAAAATTGTGCAAGCTATTGCTTGGGTTTCAACAATTATTTGTTTTTGAAAGATGAAGAAATACGTTGTGGGGTTTGTTTTGATTTAGCTTAAAAACTGACCGAGGGAATGGCCAAGAAAGTTGAGGTGCAGAGTCAAAGGTCTACAACTTTTTCATATACATTCCGCTTACTTTTAAAAGATTCTCCTAGCTTTTATGAATCAAATGAAACAATGATAGTTATCAAAAAGTACAAGTAATGTTGTCAGCAATATAATTTCACAAGTTTTTTGAAGGTAAACAAACAAAGTTTCCTTCATATTAATATTTACCATTGCAGGGTCAGAATTTATGTAAAAATCGAATTGTTCCATAAAGGGCAATGTGACTCTATCATTAATATTAAAATTTGGTTTTTCTCCAACATAAACACACTAGTTTCTCAATCAATCAAGCACCTAGAACTTTCTAGGTGCACGTGTAGGCATTTGATTGAGCTTGAGCGCCTCTCCTTGCAAGGTCTGATACAGCTCTGATAGATTAGCAATTTTAGTTTTTAATCATCATAAGGATAAAAACATACCATTAAATCCCAGTCCTCTACTATACCATGTCTTATAGGCCACTGAAACAGATTCAGAGAATATGTTTTATAACTAATGTTAAAACAAACCTTGTTGTAGTGTAATATTGAATTGAAAAAATGAATCAAAATCAACACTTAGTTGCGTAAATAAATATGTATTAGCTTTGTGGACAACTGGAAACCTGTCAAATAAATGACAACAGAGATATTCAAAAGATCAACCTGGGACAAATATTAAGTGACAAGGGCAACAGCAATTCACTAGAATTGATAAAGAGGGGCACCTATATAACAGAAAGGCTTTCAAAATGCTTTCATGAAAATATTTGCAGGATGAATTAATTCTCAATAATAAAGACTAGAAGCATACCTTTGTTGAATAAGACGGTATGTCTAATGCACTATCACCAATGTGAAAGTCTATAAAGAGAAAGAGTTGATCAATTTCTAGTGGTTTTGGTGACTTTTAGGCCTTTGAAAAAATGATAAACAGCCTCAACAAAGTTTAAGTGATTAAATTCATATTAGAAAAGTCAATAATTGAACTATTTCTTATATGTGTAAAAGACTAATTTTCAAAGTGCAGATCCGATTGCCTCACCGCTGAGATTTGAGTGCACTAACAAGGATGCAGACAGTGTTAAGCCTATAAAGTTTCCCATCTCTAACAATATCATCCTTTTGAAAACCAAAAGATATTTTGCAAAATGGCTAGGCATTGGAACAGTGGTCTATATTTAAGTTTATCTTGTCTGTTATCAACAAAAACCTTGGTAATGTTTTCAAGTATTCCTTTATTGATAACATGAGTTTATTAATTTGAAATACAAAGATAACTTAGCTGGAGTTATAAAATTGTAACACTTCAAACAATTCTAAATAGCCAAATACCTTAATTTGTATAAAACATCAATAATTATTTAAAACTATGCTTTTCAAAAAATAAATAGCTATCAACTTGACAGCCACAAGTGCACATTGTGCCTGGAAATTCTTTACTATAGTCTTTACTATAAAAAAGTAATTGATATTGGGAAATAAAAATATGAACAATATTTCAAAAGACAGAAGTAACAAAAGAACTGATGTCTGACTGTGTTATTTTAAAAAAACAATAAATCTATTTTAGATCACTGTTTGCAGGAACATTTAGCGATGACAAAAATGTAAAGGATTCAGTTTTTGTCTTTCCTTTGAAGTGGACCTCTTTTTTAATACTAACTTCATTAAAATCATACCAAGATCATCTACTCCTCTGATTGAACCTTTCCCACCAAGTTTTGCTGTTTCCTTTACTGCAATAGCTAAGATTGTAAAAAATAATAATAAATCCTAAGTTTTGTTTTGAAAAATTACATAGTATGATTGAAGTATATATATCATATTCTAATCTGATTTCAATTTCAAGGAATTGCTAACTTCATCTGCATAATTGCAACTATGATACAAACATTTTGCACATAAAAAATACGCTTGGAGAAAATTTCTTGAACAAAGGTCACCTGATAAGATTCTATCAATTTCATGATGACAATTCGATCAATAAAAGGTAGGTAGGAAAATGCTTAACAACAACAAGTAATCAAATAAAAACAAGATATAATTTGAAGCATCAAAACTTAAAGCTTAAATTGACTATTATTTTGCCCACACAAACATGGCTTCATGAGCGCGAATATAACAAATAATTGGTTCATAAAATATGATTTTGTTTATAATTTCATTGATATTTATAATTTTGCATTGTTCCTACCCATTGTTTATATACAAAATAGCTATTGTAAACATACCAGAGGGCATTATATACTGTGGTTCTGTGTTCCCTGCAAATCCTAATTTTGTATATCTGCGCAAAGAAATATCACATATATTCATACGTTTTTGACAGCATTTTGCAAATTATGACAAAAAACTACCAAAAACTATACAAATGAAAATAAAATACACAAAAAGAGAAACTAGAGCAAGTATAACAACAAACAAGTAACAGAACAGATGAACAATAGTGTGTCTAGTAACGGAGTTGCCAAAGATATAAAGTGGCCACTACAAAACCAATAACAATAGTTAATGTGAAATGAAGATTATTATTCTATAGAGTGACAAGCATTAACATAATTGGAGGGATTTATGAACCTGAGTAAAGAAAGGCAATGAAACTTTTATGTCTACAATTTAGCTGACATTATAAATAAAAGACAGCCATGAAGATGACTGAAAGACAACAAGAAGAAACAAAAAGAACAAAGCTTGATCATGATGATGTATATATAAATGATGTAGATGAAAATCTGTATAAAAGTGAGAAAAGGCATGGTGAAATTTTTTTAACATAGGAGTTGCATTTGCACTTTGAAGCTCCACTATAAATACAGTATACACAGCAAATACGGTAATATGGAAACACTTGCACATTTCTAAAAGAGATTTTCAACAAGCTCCCCACTTTTGTTAAAACTCGATATCTTACAAAGCCTTCAGCTAATTTAAATGGAATATATCTAGTTAGGACACGCTAGTATACTTGGAAAGCTTTTGTGCTACTAAAATGTTACTCACAACACCTTACATTCCCATCACTGAAAATCACTACTTAAAAGCTAGATACTTTTGCACAGGAGCACTTTAACTAATCTTGCGAGACATATTGTAAAAATTCCTGTTTAAAATTTATACCAGTTGAATCTGATCATGTAACACATTTTGCCATGTCTATAATGAAAGCATGTGCCTTTAATACAGATACCGGTAAGTGTTTGCCAGCTCATTGAAAGTCTTTCACATAACTAAGTTTAGTGAAATCTTTTGTACTTCTTTGCTAAGTGTAGCTATTGAGGAAAATTAGGTAAGAGGCTTCATCAAAAGCTTCATCTTAAAATTTACGCATTTCAATTCCAGTTTTCAGTTTTGGTTTCATCATTCATCAATCAATCCTATATACAATTCTACATAATACACTACACCTAAATACATATATATAGAAATACAGCACTACACAAAAATAAACCAAAATTAAAGATTACAGAAAAAGCACTTTTCATGATTGTATTTAAGATTGATTGATTTAGGAGGAGCTCTCTAAATAGGTTAACTAATCAAGAGAGAGCCACCGACCCCCCCCCCCTCCCCCCATAGAAATAATAAAACTACAGACATTTTTTATAAGAGTCAAAACAAAATGTTTGCCAGGTTTTTCTGAAGAGACCAAAGGTAAAGCAACAATTTGGAGAGATTTTTTAATTGAGAAACAAGGTTAAGTTAAGAGATTTGAAGAGATCACCTCTAGTTGCCTGGTGAGTTCCAATCTTATGGATAGATGAGTTTGGCTGGAAATAATTGTAAAAACAGGAAGGATATAACCTATTTTTGCCTTATAAACAAACGTAAGAATATTCAAATGCAAAGTATCCTCAAGTTTAAGAATTCTTAATGACTTGAAAATGGGTGCAGATGGAGCTGTAAATGGTTTGAATTTGGTACAGCCAAGAAGAATTTTCTGCAGGTGAAATAGAGGATTTAAGAAAGATTTTAAAGTAAGTCCCCATGCTGTGATGCCAGAATTGAGGAAAGACTGCGATGTCAATTGTTGTTTAAAAACACTTTGTCTGATGAAATTTGGTGTCAGTTTGATGAGATAAACCATTCTTTGCAAGGATTGTCTAAAACTTATATATACTTAGTTACTACCCCAATATGACCTACCGTAAAACTCTATTAAGCCACGGCACAGGGGGTTATTCATTTTTAAATCCTATAGGGGGGCTTAGTCTTAATCATATGAAAATAGAAATAGGAAGCATTGAAAGTAAAAACATTATAAGCTATCACTTAATTCCTTAATCTAGCGTTTTCCTTGTTTGACACCAAGGGCTAAAGAGGGGCGCTTAAAAGTGAAGGGGGCTTATTTCAAATTTTTGCTTGAAAGGGGGCTTAAAAGAGAGGGTAGAATTAAAAAAGAGGGGAGGGAGCTTTTGGAGGATATGAATTCAATTTTTAAGTCCAGGTATTCATCTTACTAATTCATTGTAATTTAAGGTTTCAAGTTGCTTTTTGCTAAAGAGAATGATTGAATTTGATTTTAGAGAATTGAATTTCTAACATTAGGTGGGTAGAGGCAAAACCTGTGACTTAATGATCAAAATGCTATATTTTCTAAAGCAAAATTTATCTTACATGAATTGCAGTAGATCTATTTATATAACTGTGCAACAATTCATCAGAAAACATCAGATCTGATAAACGTATACGTCGGCTGCCCAAACCGGTTTCCAAGCTAAGCCTGGCGTTTGCTACCTTGCAAAATGACAGCTTTACAACCTCTCTCTCTGCATGCATCTTTAATTGCCAGCACTCCAAATTTCTTCACAAAAACTAATCGAATTCCTTCATATAGCGCTGGAAGGAATATATGCTACTGGTTTGCTCTAATATACGCAGCAATGATGACCTGACTCGTGGATCTTGTCGGCCTAACAGAGCCAACATCCAGTACTACTACTGGGCGGTGAGCATTACAAAATAAGAACTCTACATTCTGAATTTAGTCTCTTACCCTGTTCCATTGTCTATGACGGCTGCTGGCTGTCGCATCGCCATCCTGATTTTAGCAATTTGCAGTCCAAATGTAAACTTTCTTGTGACTGTCTATTTCCTCATGAGCAACCCCACAGCCAAGCTCACTCCCAATATGGCGGAAGTCAACCAAACAAAAGGACCTGATTGGTTACTTAAAATGGCAGACAGTTTCAAGTGCGTTTTAAACGCGTTTTGACCGCAGATGAGGTTGATGTGGAACTGCCTTCCACATGACAATTTTGAACTTCCAAAAGTAAACTCTCTTTTATGAGAACAATTTTACAAGAGAACAAACGAGCCTCAAAATTGGTCAACGTTAAAACACAAATCATAAAAAAGCTGAGGTTGAGCTACTGTAAAACGTGTGATTTTGAACAATGTTGTGAAACCCCCTTAAAAATTTCATTCCAAAACGAAGGGTTTTTGCCATCTATCTTGTGCTTTTTTGGCGATTTTTTTCAAACGTGTCACTAAATAAAGGATGTCTCTTTGTTGGCTATTGCTGAGGCCCTAGTTGGAAACTATGTGAATGTGCTATCCTTTATTGAACCATCAAAATTATAGTATAAGGTCTCAATATAACTTGGAGTTCCAAGCACCAATAGAGACTTCAATTAGTTATGTGAACCATTGACTTCATATGCCACGAAACACGTACCCTAAAGTCGCCCGGTCTTGATTATGAAAGAAATCGTTGCTTCTCTTATTTCAGGCCCGTAGACAGTGGGGGCAGGGAGGGCAATGCCCCCCAATAATTTGCAAAAATCTGACAATATATCGTAAGGCAGGTATAGAATTTCTATCCATGAACGCCCCCCCCCCCCCCACTTTAATCCAGTTTAGCTGTCTACGGGCCTGTCTTATTTTCAATAACATTCAAGACAGAGCTACCAAATAGGAGTGTTGAACGAAGAGCGTAAGAAACAAGACCTAATGCATTCAGCCCAGGTATTTTAGCGAACTGACCGAAGAGATCCTTTTCCCTCAATTTCAAGCAAAAGGCAGTACAGGGAAAATGCTTGTTTTCATCTCCCCATCACCCCGCAATCGCAAACTGGACCAAGAAAAACAAAGTTCTCCAGATCTATGTTCATTTGATGCGCTAAATTGTAGACGCTGTTTTGCTAGATTCCTTACCGCCAACAATGTCATGAACATTATAAGTCAATTTCTTTGGGGGTCTAATATTAGTAAATAGCTTACGCTTGAACTCCTAAATCGAATTTGCACTTTCTTACTCAAGCAGGAGTGCTTATTTCAGAAAGTGTATTTGAAAAATACGATATAGAGAAACGAGCTGTCCGGAATTGTGTTCATAATAAGCAAGAGGACTAGAGGAGAACTAAAATTATGTTGTGTACGTTACTGAGAGACAATGTCAAATAGAAACAACGATGGAAAAATCACAAGTCTATAATTTCATCAAGGAATCTTAAGCTTTCATAAGAAAATGGCTTTGAAATCTTTTAACATGTTTCTATTTACAGTATAAATATCATAAGAAGACAGTGGCTGAATAATTGATAATTCAAAAAGGTATAAAATAAAATGATGTAAATTTTAGGGAAAATATTATCTCAAAATGAAATGATGTTCTTCTAATGAGGATAAGTGTCTTCTAGTTCCACAAGAAAAAGATGATAGATGATTTCTCTTCTAAGACGTGAATATATGCAACGCAGCAGTTATGCTGATCGAAAGATAGTTAAAAAGGGTCTTTTTATAGTTTTTACCGTTACAATGGAAAGCAAATTATTCTCATCAAAAGACATATCTACTATAAATACACATTAATAACAATAAAAATGCTTTTTGCCAAAATACATTTGCAAAATATACTGTTATCTCACATTTTCAAATCATTTACCTTTATAGTTTACTCAAAAGTCAAAAGACCAATAAATAAAAGCTTTTTACAAATTTAGGACATATTGATATCCAGATATTAATAGTGATATGAATTTTTCCTAAAAGCATCACTCTTAACAGCAGTGAATTTGATAGAAAGTGTCTTCAAAATGAAACAAACAATGGAAGAAATTCATGGAGTAATATAACTTTCAATCAGCCTCTTTTAACACTGTGCTTATTTTTGACAATCTTTGACAAATGTCTCTTGCCTGCATTGGCTCTAGTGACTTTTGCTAACTTCAAGCTCTTCGACTGCTTCTTACTGACAAAAACTCTCTTTTTCAGATTGTTGACTTTTCTAGTACGCTCGTCTCCAAGAGTTCCAGCGATTCCTTTCCTTACAATAGTTGAATCTCGCTTAGATTCATCGACAGGAGCACTGCTATGACTCAGAGTGGTATAACTTGACTGGCTGACAGAAAATTCATCATCATAGTTTCCAAAAGCTTTATTTTTGGTATCAGATGACTGCTCATCTCCATTTTTCTTGCCATCCTTCTCACCAAAACGATGTTTTTGATTCTTAGATTTGCCGTTCTCTTTGCCCCCATTGGCGTCATTGCCAAACTTATGGTGATTTCGCTGGTTGCCCCCTTTCTTCTTTTTGTCATCATCATTTCCCTTATTTTTGCCATCGTCTCCAAAACTTTGTTGATAGGCTTGGTTACCTCCTTCTTTGTCTTTTCCATCATCGTTTCCTTTGCCTTTCTCACCATCTCCAAAACGTTGTTGATCAGCTTGGTTACTTCCTTTTTTGTCTTTTCCATCATCGTTTCCTTTGCCTTTGTCACCATCTCCAAAAGGTTGCTGATAACCTTGGTTACCTCCCTTTTTGTCTTTTTCGTCATCATTTCCTTTGCCTTTGTCACCATCTCCAAAACGTTGTTGATAGGCTTGGTTACCTCCTTGTTTGTCTTTTCCATCATCATTTCCTTTGCCTTTGTCACCATCTCCAAAACGTTGCTGATAACCTTGGTTACCTCCTTTTTTGTTTTTGCCATCATCATTTCCCTTGTTTTTGTCATCATCTCCGAAACGTTGTTGATAAGCTTGGTTACCTCCTTTTTTGTTTTTTCCATCATCGTTTCCTTTGCCTTTGTCACCATCTCCAAAACGTTGTTGATAGGCTTGGTTACCTCCTTCTTTGTCTTTTCCGTCATCATTTCCTTTGCCTTTGTCACCATCTCCAAAACGTTGTTGATTGGCTTGGTTACCTCCTTGTTTGTCTTTTCCATCGTCATTTCCTTTGCCTTTGTCACCATCTCCAAAACGTTGTTGATAGGCTTGGTTACCTCCCTTTTTGTCTTTTCCATCATCGTTCCCTTTGCCTTTGTCACCATCTCCAAAACGTTGTTGATAGGCTTGGTTACCTCCCTTTTTGTCTTTTCCATCATCGTTTCCTTTGCCTTTGTCACCATCTCCAAAAGGTTGCTGATAACCTTGGTTACCTCCTTCTTTGTCTTTTCCGTCATCATTTCCTTTGCCTTTGTCACCATCTCCAAAACGTTGTTGATTGGCTTGGTTACCTCCCTTTTTGTCTTTTCCATCATCGTTTCCTTTGCCTTTGTCACCATCTCCAAAAGGTTGCTGATAACCTTGGTTACCTCCTTCTTTGTCTTTTCCGTCATCATTTCCTTTGCCTTTGTCACCATCTCCAAAACGTTGTTGATTGGCTTGGTTACCTCCCTTTTTGTCTTTTCCATCATCGTTTCCTTTGCCTTTGTCACCATCTCCAAAAGGTTGTGATGATACCTTGGTTACCTCCTTGTTTGTCTTTTCCATCATCATTTCCTTTGCCTTTGTCACCATCTCCAAAACGTTGCTGATAACCTTGGTTACCTCCTTTTTTGTCTTTTCCATCATCATTTCCTTTGCCTTTGTCGCCATCTCCAAAACGTTGCTGATAACCTTGGTTACCTCCTTGTTTGTCTTTTCCATCATCGTTTCCCTTGTTTTTGTCATCGTCCCCAAAACGTTGCTGGTTACCCTGGTTACTGTCTTTTTGGTTTTTGTCATCTACTTTTCCCTGATTTTTTTCGTCACCTCCAAATTTTTGTTGATAACTTTGGTTGTCAGCATTTTTAGCTTTGTCATCACTTCCTTTGTCCTTGCTGTCATCTCCAAAACGCTGTTGATAGCCCTTGTTGTCTTCTTTTTTGTCATCATCATTTCCTTTGCCCTTGTTGTTATCACCAAAAGGTTGCTGATAGCCCTGGTTGCCAGCATTTTTGTTTTTGTCTCCACCACTATCCTTCGTTTTGTCTTCATCCCCAAATTTTTGTTGATTGCCTTGTTTGCCAGTATTCTTAGCTTTGTCATTATCATTTCCCTTGCTTTTGTCGTCATCTCCAAAACGTTGCTGGTTACCCTGGTTTCCAGCAGTTTTGTCTTTACTGTCCTCATTTGCTTTGCTTTTGTCGTCATCTCCAAAACGTTGTTGATTGCCTTGACTGCCAGAATTTTTGTTCTTCTCATTGTTTTCTTCTTGGCTACCTCCAAATCTCGGTGGTTTGCTTTCTTCAGTGGTTTGACCACCGAATCTTGGTCCATCTTTGTCTTTGTTTTCTTTTTCAGCCATGTCATTAACTGCATTTACTTTTGTTTCCTCATTTTCATTTGACTTTGAATTTGTAACGCTGTCAAATACCTTGAAGGAAGTCAAAAGCTGTCCAAGATCTGGTTGCCTTCTCGTTGCTGTATCGCTATAGTCATGGGTGTGATCATTTGTGTTCTCAAATTTTCGTATAATGCTTCTTGCATGTGCTTTGCGTCCCTTCTTTACGTGACTTGCATCTGAAAATTTATTGCATATTTGTTACAGACTCGCTAATAAATCAAGAGCAAAGAACTCCTGTATGGTTATTCCAACGTTGACTCTCATACCGTCAAGGAAATTTCCTGGTCGACAAATAATGTGCTAGACTAGCTCATAACTACTTTGATAGAAAATCAAATTAATGCATTATCTATATAAAAAGGAACTTCATTTCAAACAATTTCATTGACATTCATTTTCATAAATTGTTGATGCCAATTGTATGATTTATTCTACAAAGGCCGAAGTATCTGCAAAAAATTGTAAAAGTCGTCGATTAATCTCGTAAAATTGTAAAAGTCGTCGTCTTTTATCAAGCACCGAATTGCTGCTAAAATCAATCAATTCAAAAATGTTGACTAAAGTGAGCCATAAGTTCAGTGTTTATCATTAATTTATGAGTATATGTCAAAATTCAGTGCTTATTTTTTAAATTTAAGCAATCACTGTGTAGTTGGCAAGCAATGCACAATGTAATTAGAACTCTGTGCCTGTTTGTTTGTTTATTTGTTCATGTGCTTGTTTAACAGTTTACTATGTCAAACAGATTTTATTCAAAACATTTAATCTTGGCAAAACCACACATGCCAACTTACCGTTTTGAATCAAGACACCAAAAAGTACAAAGAACAAAATTGGAGCAACCATCTTGAACATGATTAAAAATCAAGTTTGTTACTTTTCCGCGGCTACAAAGCTCCATAAACAAATATTTTGAACGTAAACTTTATTTTTGCACAAGGTCAACGATTATACGCAAAATACAAATAGGAACGAGTGAAGCGTGACAGCTTTTGTCTAATATACCTGGTAGGTTCGCAAGGTGACCGTGTGGAACGAGAGATGGAAACAGCAGCAACAACAGCACGGAGCAAAATTCACGCTTTAACAAAACATATGCAAAATCCTTGACCGAACTTTCCATCTCTGAAAAGCTAGGTGAGAGATTTGCAGTACGCTCCTATTCACAAGAACACATTTATACATTCTGCACAGTCTATTCACAAGAACACATGGGGTCTGCATCCTATTTTTTTGAGCACATCAAACTGCCAACCTTTTTCAATTTTTCATGCTGGTATCACAACTAGCAGCGATATTATTAGAATAAATGCTTTTAGGGCCTGGGACCCAATGCAACGGTCTAAGAATAGCACTTGGGGACATTTTCAGTCGAGGTCTGCATCTTATCCTGTTCAGTGCCCAAAACTACCCTGTGGACGAGGATTCATGCTGATATCCAACTTTGCACAACTCTCTTAAAATCTGGGACTAACAGCCCTGACTATTAATAACAACCCCGAGGCTCGATATGCCCAAAAAGTCAGAAAAACGGAACGACATGTGAAGCCGTAAATGAAAAGTCAGCGGAAAAAAATCTTTCTCTTGTGTTAACAATAGTCAAATGAGCAGATTTTATTAGCAAATCATCCGTGCTACTGAAGATATAAGAAAAAACTGATTTTTAGTGGTTTTGAAAACCAATGTAGTGTTGTAAAAAACTCAATGTTGGAGTAGAAACAATATAAAGAACAAATGGACAGATCTTCAAATTAACCAAAGAATAAGATTAGCAAGCCTCGTCAAAAATCATTTGTTTCTTATGCGTGTAGCGCAACCAACCCAAACTCTTTTTTACGCCTAATTGACATCGAATCCTAATAAGTTTCCCAAATTAGAATTGAAACTATTGCAAAATAACGAAGACTTGCAAAATATCCAAATCTACCTTCAAAGAAATTATTTATACAATTATTTATACAGAAATTTTTTGCGACCACGCCCTTTAGATTATCTTAAAATGCATTTTAAAATATTTCTTACAGTTGTTTGCTTGTAGTCTATTAAAAAAATTAATTTTATTTGAAACATCTCCCCCCCCCCTCCGAGGTACTAATTTTATTGCAGCTTCCGTAAGATTAACTTTCGGAAATGCGTGTTAACAAAAATTGAATGTCGGATGCAAAATTTCCAACTTCAGAGAAAATACGGATAAGATAAGTAAAAAAAACAGCAAATCTTCAACAGCATTCTAGGGAAAATCGCTCTCTCTATCTTTAAAATGTTCAATTAGTTTGTAGCAATCAAATACTATTAATTAGACTGAAGCAAAATAATTGTGTCTGTCATGATATACTATATTTAACCTTTGTCACAACCATCCCATTCAATATGACATCAGGTTTGTCTCCAGCGATGAAATGGACCATGTTGAAAACACATAAAAAAGTGAAGATAACGAGGCTTGACTACAATTTTAAACAATATATAAAGGCAAAGCAGCGACAAGAAAAAGAGCATTGTTCTCACTTTTATTAAAATAAAAATAAATGTATGACTACAAAGTTACCATTCTTGAAAGAAAATCTTGAGCAAAACAAAAACCGCCTTATTTCTGTGTTTAACAAAATTACATATTTGAGGGACAGAATAAATACATGTCAATCAAACTTTCTTGTTCCCACATGACATAATTAAATAAAAGAATGATCATATCTAGAGCCATAAAGGATAAGTAGTACTCTAAACTGAGTTGAACATCAAAAGGTTTTTGACTTTGCTCAGATTGAATAATTTCTTAATAGGAGAATAAAATTTCAAAATTATTTGTGGGATAAAAAAAGCACATCGTACAGTCCCAACTTTTCAATTAAATCATTAGACACTTGTTAAGTCTGACCCTACATTCTATCAATAATTATAAAGCAGGCTAAAGTAGACACTGTTAAAAAAATTGCTCTCTCCTCATTTTCTGTTCTCTCTCCTCAGCTAGCTTAGCTATTGAGAGAGTTCCTCGATAATAATGCCCCTTCGTACAAATCCTCTGACTTAAAACATTGCTGCAAATTGTTTAATATTAAAAGATGTTTCTAGCGGGACTTCTTTCAATCAGTTATGGAGTAAAAGAAAACATATACATGGAGACTATTTAATTGATCAGTTGGAACAGTATCAGTGGACAAAACAAGACCAATGAGCAAAGTATAAAAAAGACTAAGGAAGACAATACAATGATGTCTCAACACTTTAATCTTCTTCACTAGATTCTTCATTCAATGCAAAATCTTCAGTTAAGTCATACAAATAAATACCATCCTTAGACCTAGATGCTTGAACATACCCCGCAGGGGTATAATGTTTGGATCCTCTACACTGCAAAATGATTCCAATTAGTGACACGATTACAAAAATAGTTATCAGAGCTACTATTGTTATTTTGAAAGAAAGGATATCAAAGACTCTCCGTGTCTTTAGTGCTTTAACTAAGAAATGTTCAACTTCAGATAAGGAACCATTATTAGGAGATGGTTCGATGCCAAGAACACTACACAGCAGTGCATAAATATGTACATTAGAGAATGTCTTGCCTGTGTAGTTCTTTTTAAATGCAGGACCAGCTGCAATAAATATACCATGCATTGATTTAAAACTGTTCAGGTAGCCATGATTGCCAGTTGTGTGTGTAACCACTGTCCTATTTAAAGTTATCAAATATCCTTCATCTGCAATAGCTAGAATTCTTTGAACTCTGCGATTTTCTTTGTAGTGCAGTTCTGTGGGTATTTCTTCCTTCAAATAAACTGTTAAATGTGGGACTCTTTTCAACTGGTTGAATACTTTTCCAGTGAAATTTGCCTTTGGTATAATTGATGCAAATACATCTATATTCACTGCATTATACCAGCTTTGATCTATGAAATCATTCAAAGCGATTTGATGATTTGGTTCAATACTTGCCATGCCATGGTCACTAACAATTACCAGATTCACCTACAAAAAAGAACAAGGACTAAGGCTAAGCTTACATCTTACAGACAATTTCAGTTGTGTAGTTTGGGGGTAATGTGGCATAATGCCGTTAGGCTTCTTAAAATGTTTGAGCTGCAGCATTATACTACCTACCCAAGCAGTGACATTATGCTTCTTAAATATCACTATCATATTAGATACTAGCAACAAACAATCAAGCTATTTTTATTAGAAAACATAGCAGATAAATTGGTAAGGTTTTAAATGTTTGTCTTGACAAAGGTTCAAGTGAGTAAAAAAGTGATTAAAGTCATATGAAGAGTTCACAATTGCATTTTGGACATTTGATTTATGCAAACTGGGCATGCATTGTTTGAAGGTCCTTTTGCTTGTTTGAAGGTCCTTGTCATTGGTCAAAATAGAGAGCCAGATTATAGAAGAAGCAAATGAATATGGCTACCAAAGTCAGCTAATGATATCTGTAAACAAAACAAATAGAAGAATTGAAAGAAAAATAGCTACAGGATGGCCAAGATTTGGGCAATTTGTCAATTCATGAGAATTAGGAAGGAAAAGAGTAATAGATGGTGCCATACTTCTGGTAATAAGATATGGTGTTAAAACAAGGGCACTGGCATCAATTGGCAGTGGCACAGAGAAATATGGGAATAGCAATGTTTAACATCACATGGACAAACCGAAACTAATGGACAAATGAAAGTTTATGGTTACACACTAAAGGTTTTGACATTGTAGTAAACTCAGATAAATATAGGTGGCAAGTGGGCAAGCTATGCTGCATGGATGGAAGGAAGAAGTCGGGCAAAGAAGATAATTAAGTGGGTAGCAATTTGAATAAAGTGGATGCCAAAGACTTAAAAAGAAATGAAAAGATGATCTGCAGAACAGTGCATATATCACTAGAATGAGATAAAATTTGCATTTTGCAAACAATGCCACTACATTAATTGAATTAATTGCTTAAGTTTAATAGCAGTTTTCAGTAATCAATTTATTTATTACACAGTTAATACATCTAACTATTTGGTACTTCCAAAGGTGCTTATAGATGAAGTATAGATCAAAGATCAAAGGAAGTTCAGAACTTTCAGCAACATTTACCTAATTGGTTACAACTATAAACAAATTGAAATGCTACTTTGAAATATAAGTGTAACTTTATCAACTTACAAAGTCAAGAAACCTGTTCTCTTTTAATTTCTTGAGAAAAACACCAAGGAGCTTGTCAAGTTGTAAAAGCACTTTGGTGACTTCTATTGAATCAGGGCCATGTTTATGTCCAGTAGCATCTGGTTCGCTAATGTAGCAAGCTATGAAATTAGGGGGATTTTCTTCTTTCAAAAGTCTAACGATAAGATCAAAGCGATCTTCAAAGGGGTAGCTGCCATTGTAAATTGGAAAATAAAAGTAGGGAAGTTGTCCATTGTACTTAACATTTGAACCAACCCAAAATATTGCAGCACTCTTCCGTTTTTTATTGTTACCTTTCTTCTCAGATTTGACAGTGTTATTATTTTCGTCGCGATGCATTTCATTCTTTATCCATATTGGTAAAGCTGCATCCCACCATTTTGACTCTGTATTATTTGGATAGAAAGTTTCATTAAAAACTGGATCAAACATTTTATTTGCGACTATGCCATGTGTTTCTTCATGAACACCAGTTACAATTGTAAAATGATTTGGGAAGGTTTTCGTAATAAAGCTACTTTGAAGGCTGTCTGCTTTCACGCCATTTTTTACGATATAATTGAAATTTTCCAGTTTTGTGCGGTCAAAATAATCCCATCTAAAACCATCAAAAGAAATTAATATAACAACCGGAGTCTTAAAAGGATTCTCATGGCTGCTTTCATTTTGTCCAAGAGGCGAACATTCTATTATTCTACTACACGCAGTCAATATCAAAATAAAAAGAATGTCAAATGGCCTCATATCTGAAGTGAAGACTTCTGGCTTGGGCCTAGCAAGCAGGCTTCGGGAATGTTGACTTTTTCAAGATAATATTTCCCTTGCTTGTTCTCTCATCGCGTGAAAACTATCCACCAGAATATTCCAACCACTTACGCTGTCATTAAGCACAATTTCGTCCACAATGCAACTTTATTATGGTCAGATAGTCGGATAGTCGGATAGTCGTGAATATTTACAAACAGATGAAGTTAACAGCCTCGATCTCGATGTCAAAATTAATTGTTGCGCCCCCACAGAGGTAACTCTAGTTACAGTAGCGGGAAACGCGGCTGGGGGCACAGGCCCCCCTGTTTGGAAAAAATATGAAAAGTGCCCTTCTTTGGAAAAAAATATTGCGTGTACTATTTTCAAAGCCAGATATTTTTCCTTTAGACGCCAAGTAAAAGAACTTAAATCAAGGCGTTGCTCCAGTGATTCTCAATTTCTAACAACATTTATTGCGAAGGAGACTGTCTCTTTGGCGAGAAAAATTTCCTCAGTGTGTTGCCAGTTGTTTCTCAGCTGGTTTGACACCGTATTCTCTCTAATGAACGCCGGGGTAACTCATTTTATTTTTTGGTCTCAGAAAAGTGGTGCTCATTAGAGAGGGGTGCTCATTGGAGAAGGGCGCTCATTGAAGATAGATAGATATGTAGTGATTCAATTTAGGCCATTTTATACAATCCATCATTGCTTCTTCTGCATATCTACGTAATTCTATATTCATCATTCTCTATGTTAATTACACGTCATTTTAACCTAATCCATCACACCATTGTTAACCATCGAGCATATCCTTTCCTTTGTATAACTCTTAATTAAGTTTGCCAGTTTTCTATATCAATACGAACTCTTGTAAATTATAATCAGTCAGTAGAAATCACGTTACACACTGCCCAAACAGTTTGCATCTCTCTGGCTCCGTGTCATCTGCACGTAAAATAAGATCGCACTGGTTGAAGATAGCACGTTTGTCGTTTAATGGACATTTTAGTCAATCATCGATCGATGTTCCGATGAACACTAAATTGGTGACCACGACGTGACCGCGGCTGCTTCGACACGCACATTCTACGACGCTGTTTTCAACGCACCACAATACACATGCACCATCATCAAGCAGAACTCGAATCACCGTAGTGCCAACTCGCAACAAGCGAACACAGCAGCGCTCGACTCACCGTAGTGCTACGCTACACCATTCGAATCAAGGCAGCAAACAGCATCGGACATTGTCTCACACGCCTCACCCATCTACGGCAGCAACAAGGCATTTCGTTCTTTGCTCACACATACGCCTCCAATCCATTGCAGGTTCCTGGTCATCCTACACATAAAACCAGAGATGCACATTTCAGGGTTCCTGGTCATCCTACGCCAAAAACCTCGGCACAGCAAGCACCACTCTCCGCACAAATTCTGCAAGATGTCAATTCACACCACAAGAGCTGGCAAGTAACATGCACACCAGAAATGAACATTTAATTTCGAACTCTAAAACTTAATTCGTTCTCGTCATTGCATTTTTTTTTTCTCGCTTTTCTCCCTACGTATCGAATGCTTCACACTCGCTTGCATTCTAGGGAGGGGGCTATTGTAGTGATTCAATTTAGGCCATTTTATACAATCCATCATTGCTTCTTCTGCATACCTACGTAATTCTATATTCATCATTCTCTATGTTAATTACACGTCATTTTAACCTAATCCATCACACCATTGTTAACCATCGAGCATATCCTTTCCTTTGTATAACTCTTAATTAAGTTTGCCAGTTTTCTATATCAATACGAACTCTTGTAAATCATAATCAGTCAGTAGAAATCACGTTACACACTGCCCAAACAGTTTGCATCTCTCTGGCTCCGTGTCATCTGCACGTAAAATAAGATCGCACTGGTTGAAGATAGCACGTTTGTCGTTTAATGGACATTTTAGTCAATCATCGATCGATGTTCCGATGAACACTAAAGATATCCACCAATAAAAAACTGGGCATTGGAATTCAAACGATCATTGTTTTTACAAAAATTAATCTTGAATTAGCATCACACTTGTTAAAGCGAAAAAAATTGTCAAGATGTCAATTTCTTCCGAGTCGGAACCCTCGTCGAGTTGCATAAACACTGGCGTAGCATCTTGAAATCTGAATTTCCAATGCCATCTCTAATGAGCGCTCATTGGAGATTTTTGCTCAAAAATGAAGCGCTCATTAGAGAGAATACGGTAGGTCGACCAGCGTACTACTACACACTTTATATAATCTCAGAGAATTCAATTGGTCTAAGGATAACAATTTAGCTGTTAATTTTATGTCTTGCTAAATTTTGGAAGAGATAGAGACTGAAAACTCGCTTTGAATTATATAAAGACTAAAATTTACTTTGAAATAGACAGAGCTTAAAAATTCGATAATTCCTATCAATTTTGAACACTATGTTTTTGGTCTAACTTGTAAGTTTTTGTTACTTATATATGAATGATTGCATTAATATGGGATTATTTTTTTGGTGTGTTGTAATTAATTGGAATATTTGACGAATATAATGCACTTGCTACAAGTACGGGGAAGAATGTGTTCCTGCCGCGATCTTCATTTACAATAAAAATCAAAAACAAAAAAAAGTAAATCGAATTTGAAAGAAATCATATTCGTTTATGTATATCTTTCATCAATATTGATGAAAGATAAACATAAACGAAAAATTTCAACGTCCATGAGGAATTATACATTTAAGTATGCCCAAGAGTGCGAGACCCCTAAATGGAGCACATAGCCATTTATGCTGTGTTATTTTTTCTAAATTTCTGAATTACCATAAAAGCTGTCCTATTTCGGCAACAACCAATGTTACAAATAAATATATGTTTGTGCTCATTATATTCCTTTTGGCCCCCCTGCTCAAGCCTGCGTCCGGCAGCCCTGCTTTTGAAATAATTTTCAATGAGCTTCCTTTGTAATAGATAACAAAAATTTAAGGCCTGAGATCTAATTAGATTGAAAATTGCAAAATGCTGCAATCATGTTTTACCCGAAAAAACTGCTAAAGATCCATTAATTTATATCAAGGCAAAAGTCAATGATAAAAGCTTCAACGTAAAATTGCTAAGAAATGTTCCCGCACTTATAATTAAACATAAACTACGATCTGGGCCTTTAAAAAACTAGTTTAGTAAAAACTAGTAAAAATAACTCTTTTTATGAAATTTCCCAAAATCCATTGAATTGAACCTAAATTTCCTTCTCAGCTCACTGGGATGAGACGGATTACAATTTTTAAAAAGATCCTAGCAGTAATAATCTCTCTTTACTTGGACGTTTCTTTCAAAGAACCTAATCCTATTTGTGAAATATAGAATTTTCAAAGACAAGGATTGGTTTATGCTATTTGCTTTACATCTTGTATGGCTGTAAGCAGTCATTTAAAGCTTGGATTCAGCCTTAACTGCGGTGATTTTAAGTTTTCAGATTATTGGTGCAAATGACCTTGGAATAGAATTCTATAGTCTGTTATAGTTTTGTTACAGTTCAGCGAGTAAAAAAAGATAAATGCATAAACGAAATGAAATGCCCGCTCCCTCCAGCTCAAATATACTGGAAATATTGAATAGGCAGGAAAAGAAACCACAACAACTCACTTATAAACAAATAACAGGAAACATACACATCCTTAATCTTTGCATGTATTGGAGGAAATGGAGAATGAAGGTACCACTTACTTCAAATTGCTCGTCTTAAAACTGAGTGACAAAGTAGAAATAAATACAGTAGAATCTGGTTATAATCGCACCGAATGTACCTTGAAGACTTGTGACTGTAATCAAAATGTTACTGTAAATGGAGCCCAATTTAATAGTTTTGCATAACTGGTTCGAAATTTTATGTGACTGTATCAAGTAGTTTGAGTTTAAGAGTGACTATAGGCTGAGAGAACTGTATGCATATAATACAAGTTAGATTAATATACAAGATAGATCAGTGTGCATATAAACTCTCATTTATGGCGCTAAGGTAATGTCTTATGTATCTGAGAGGCACTACATAGGTGCAAGAAAATAAGAGAAGACACCAATATTGTAGATTATTTGGGATGGCATGCAATGAAGCTTCAGTTAAAGCACAATTTATACTTTTAGTCTTTCTGTTGGCTTTTAGACAATAAGACATGTTTGGCGTAGGCATTTGCATTTGCCTTTGCTACACGTATTTGCATTTGCTACAAGTAGAAATAAAAGTATCACGATTTGAAAGAGTTAGAAAGAAAATATAAGACATAACTCTACAAACAGAAACTGTAAATCTGTGTTGGCGTGAAACTGCCCAAATAAAATGCGGCCCAGCCCAGCTATAGGTCCACAATTGGGTCTTATCTTAATCTTGCTGTTTATAAATCTATATACGTACATTAAAACAAAAACCCTAACTTTATTCGATTCTTCAACTATTAATGTGATTGCTATTTGGCCAAAAACAAGGCCATTTGCCTCTTTGTTCTCTTGAATGTATCTTTGCTTTTGCAACGAAAAGTCCAACGTCTGATTTAGGTACTTTGTTAATGGCATTGTGATACACGTAATTGATATCAGTTAATTCGAATGTTATTTTGGAGGTTATTGCGTGATTTTCAATCTATAGAAATTGTAAATCGCCTTCCTCTTCAAACACAGTACACTATCACACCGTTATTGTGAGACGAACACGAAAACGAAAAATGAATAAAGAATCTTGGTGCATGGTAGAAGTTAATGAAAAGCAAACAATTGCACATTCTCAGAAGAAGCATTTTCAGGACTCCTCAGAAAGCAATGTCTTTCGAGATGCAGAGCCGTTGCATCACAAAATTCGCTTGGTAAATTTCAATGTAGCTAACAGAATCAAGGAGAAAAGACATTTCAATGAAACATGCAAGTGTTGTTTGTTTAAATTATACTTAGAAGTTGTTGTTATTATTATTGCAAATCGTTCAGTTACTTTCTCTTGGCCACTTGCATGAAAGAATATATCAAATGAGAATTACAATTGTATTACACTGAGTTACGTTATAGGACAACAGATTTGCAAATGTCCTGCTCCTTTTTATTCAAATTTCATGCGCGTGTATATAACATGCACCTGTACAAAATTTCTGTAATTTTATTGGCTTTAGTGATATTCTTTAAAATTATTGTGAAACATTTTTAAAAAACCAATGTTCGTTTTGATATTTTAACTATTCTAGTACCAATATAGCCTTTAATCTTTTAGATGTTTCAGCATGGAAGCCGTAATCTGAGGTGATGTTGAAGAAAAGAGGAACCTTGTCAACTCATCGAACAGCATTCTTTGAAAAAGTAAAAATAAACATTTCATAATCGTCTAGGAATGATGATTTCTAAAACGTGTTAGATAATTAAACTAATAAAGTTGCTTTTTTCTTGTTCATTTTGTCACTATTCTGATAACGTCAAAAATAGCAAGGTAATGTCTTTGGTTGGCCTACAATCCCAGGTAAAAGTAACTGAGACATTTCAAAAAAGCTTATGTTTTCGCTTCTCTTCGGAAAATAGATATTGCATGTTTTCGAATCACAAATAATAGAGCTACTAATCCAACAGTGATCTGGGGAAAGGAGGAGGGAATAAAATTATACAGTTGTAAATAAAAGTAGAAATTGCAAAAGCTGCCTTTGGACACACAATTTTTCGGGATCGTAGCTTTAAAATACATCCTTATTGAGCAGTGCCGGACCTACCGCTCAGAATGACCACACTTTATGACTCGTACGCCTGAAATTACAGAGCTACAAAGGTCTGAAACTTTTTTGGCATTCTAACGGTTTTTTCACTTGAGATCGAGTGTCTCTTAGGCCATCGCATATTTGAGGTAACTAAAGACCAATGCATACTCGCTGGCAAGGATTCTTACTACAGCGAGCCTGAAAAAAGAGACAATTACTGGCACAAAAACTTGTTAGAACACAATACAATCCAGATGACAACATAAAATGAGAATCAAAGTATCGAAAATTATACCAAATGAATATCCAGTGCAATTGCCGATGTCCTCTTGCCCAGTAAGAATACAACATTCAAAGTCTGACAAAAAGAGGATTGGTTTTAGAGTAGCTAGATGCAATCGAACATATAGGTATGTGTTTATAATCAGTGTAAGCCAAGAATGATTTCTGAAAACTTTCGCGAAGATCCTGTGATTTGATGTCGTCTGTTCCCAGATCTTGCCAATGTTTATCAGCTGCTTTTAGTTTCTCATCGCGCACTCTCTTGTAAAAGTTTGTGGTGATGCTGCTTACCTAGAGAAACAAGAAAAGTAGAAGCTGAGTTCCCTTAGAAATGGGAGTCCACACCAAACCCAAGAGATACTTAGTGCAGTAAGGCATTCTTGATGGCATAGCTTTTTCTTAATGTTTTTAGCTGCCGGTCAAGCATTTCGTCTATCTTCTAAAATATACTGACTGATTATGGAAATGGTCCATTTTCTTAAGCAATTGAATGATAATTGGGCTAGGGGCAAGAGTGCAGTGCTACGAAAAGAACCAGGGGTACTCTCCAAAAAAAATTAAAAAATGGCAAGAAATAGAAATGCTGTGTGGTCCCCATAAGTCCCCCGTCTCTACATTTTAGACTAGAGAGGCAACTGTATGTTTGCATTGAAGGCATTGTCTCAAGGCCTAGAATATTTTGGTCCAGAAGTAAGTTTCTTTATATTCATATGGCAACAAAAATGTTTTTACATTGCAGCAAAAGAAAATCATTTTAAAATGCAACAGCTCTCGTGGCTTTAAAATCTTAATTTTCAATTTTCACAAAGTAGAACAAAATAACATTTCAATGTTGCATTTGGAATTTACTTGAAGACATACATGGCAATATTTTTAGCAGATACTCAGATAATAAGAGACTTGCCTGTTTTCTTATCAGCTTCAAATCATCAAAAGTGAGATCTTGCGCAAGTTTTGCTTTGATTTGTTTGTTCTTGCCATTCCCATTGGATGTCAGTTCTGAAATTGTCGTCAGTTGTGGTAGATTCACACCAGGGCATGTCAACCCCAACGTTCTAATTTCTTTGGACATGGTTCCCCTTCGTATGCACTTTTGTTTACGAATGTGCTTCTGCATTGTCTAAGGAGGAAGACATATAGGTTATTGATATGAAGATTGAACAAATAAGACGAGTAAACCGTGAAATCAGGCCAGCAGTCAGAATGTATTGAGGGGGATTTTAATCTCTTCTACAAGAAGAATCCGCTTGCTTTAACCGATTATGCATCTGTTCAAGTACAGTAAGTGTTCAAGTAAAACCTGCATTTAGGAAACTCACTTTCAATACGACTGCAGGCTGACTAATTCGAAGTTATGTTCCAAAATGTAAAAAAACTGTAGAGCCTGGATTTGCTCTAGTTTCGTATAAATGTAAGATAAAAAATAACTGTAAGAAGCGGTTTTACAGAATCAAACAGGCATTCTTTTGACTTACTGCATTTGAGACACTGCTCTGTTGCTTTTAGTCAAATTTGTGAAAGGTCATTACTTTCCAAGTTGTTTGTGCTACTTTTGTTCTTGTTATAAAAGCTCATTTTAAAACAAAATCATCAGCCTGATCCGAAAAAGAGTTTCGTTGCAGGTTTTTACTCCAGAAACTACTTGTTACTTTAGGCCCATTTTCCTTCATTAGGCCCACTTGTTACTCAAGTTATTTTTTGTCCAATTCTGTCCAATAAATTTCAATTTTCCATCAATTTTCTCCATATATAGCACTCTCACAACTTTCTTCGAAAAAGTAAGTGGTTGCATCACATTCAGCTTAGTCTGTAGCAGCATTTGTGGAGAGGGGGCAGGCTTATTTAGCTTAAATGTGTTTATCTATGTACAGTTTCCACTTTGGCTGCATCATAGCCTATTCGAAGGGTTATTAGCTGCGAGGCTTGTTTTCAATCAAGGTCCTGTCTAAGATTGGTAAAACATGCTTTTCTAGCGGTGGCATTTGAAATAGATTTTCAGTGAAACGGAAATTTAGTGATCAGCCGGCCAGATTCTTATTACGGGAATGTGCCCCGTGCCCCGTGATCAACATTGCATACAAACTCAATGCTTAAAACAGTTTTAGCTAAAATAACTACTTACTTAAATACCAAGGAAAAAATTTATTGCTAAAAATACTGCTCTTACATTAGAAAAGTACACACTAAATACGTTTAAAGCGACATACCAAAAACTGGAGATAGAGTGAGTCCCTTCGATTTCTGGGTTTTGAAGGCGTTACACATGCCATGAATTTCAATCTTATTCTGCCACGCTCGTTACGATCAAGGTGGTTATCAGCTGGAACAACCTCATCTTTGCCCTGTCAGAGTTTGGTAAGATAAAATCTCTTTGGTTTCTTTCCATATCAAAATGGCTTCTTTAAAGAAGATTTAGCTGTCTTTAAACGATTGAATCGAGTCCTTTATTAGCAATGCTTTTACAATCAATAAAACATTAAAGCTGTTTTAATGGATTGTAAAGACTGAAATAAAAACACATTGTTGCAACTATGGATGCAATTGGCTTTAATAGGATCCTCAGGAGAAGCGATCCTAGGCCCCATCCCAGCGGCACCTACAATTGCTTTACACCAGTTTTAACGGTTCCTCCGCATAATGAAAAACTACTTTTCTCCTTGAAGACTGCAGGTTATCATACTGCAACAAGACGGCTGCATACTTAATTGCTAAAGAATACATCATTTTATTCTATTGCCAAAATTTTGAAATTGTACTCAAGTTTGAGCAAAAGAATAGAACACAATGAGGCTATTGCTATTATTTATCGAAATACATATGCGGGTAACAAGTTAATAATTTCCCAACATTTTCAATTACATGGCATCTTGAAAGTTTTCCCAGCGTCCTCACCCCTTTAATTTCCATCTTTTGTAACTTTTCACAGTTAATTGGAAACCAAATGAGCCAACCAACCACCAAAGGTTTAGTAAAAAATTGATATTGCAAAAAACACATTAGGGATAATGTTAAAGGCATAAGATAGGTGATACAATTACAGAGAAATAGATGAAATTTCTGAAAGGTATGGATTGATCAACAGCCACCGTAACTCTGAATACAATAAAATCCCGCATATGAGAAACTCATTTTTGGATCAAAACGTACACCTTTTTTCAAAAAGTATACAATTTTCAAAGAGCCTCAGGAGTTTCTTATTTAATGAATTTACTATCAGACTGGAAAATTGCAGAACCATCATAAAAAGAAATGACAGTTATACATTTTGGCAAAAATTAAATGTTTTTATATAGTGTAGACTTACATATTCAATAAATTGAAAGCTGCTCTGTTCCTGGATAACTGCTTTTTACGTTCATTATATTTCACACACCTTAGTTCTGAATAAGCACTTGTAAGAAATTGAAAAAAAGTTCAGGTACAACATTTCTTTTCATCTATGTATATAACTTAAAAACAAGTCTGCCTGCAGCTCCTTTTGAGTAAGATTGTTATTGCGGGCTTTTACTGTACACGTTGCTATACAATAAAGCATATTCACGGAAATGCACCTAGAGATTTTCTTCTCAAGAATATAAATTGGCTCAAATATCAAAGAAGAGAACTTACTTTTCTTTGCTTGATCGCTAGTTTCCGTGGCTTAGCCTTTTCTTCGAAGAACGTATCGAGCGACGTCACCAAAGGTTGAGCATAAGGGCTTTTATTGTCAGAAGAGATTTTAGTAAGCTTTTTCATGTCCCTTCTCATCTGACGCTCAGTAAGGCCTATCAAACGAGCTCCCGCCGTATAGTGTCCGATGACATCATGAGGGTTAGAATAACGTTGGGCATTAGTATGGTAGTACCTAAAGAGAGAGAACTAAGATAAACATTGACAAGCTTAAAAGATCCTTAATTTGTTTGGGTTTTCTGTCGCATTGCCTGTTCATTAGTATTAGCTATCGTCTCCATAAAGACATATAGACAAAAATTTTTGACAAAAAGGATTTGATCGTGATTGGCGACTAAGGGAGTAAAGTTTAACCCGAAACGATTTTTGCTGTCAAATCCCTTACAAGTCTTCAAACTTAATTTCTCCGTGAAACCTAAAAAACAAGCACGAACAATATGAAAAATTGTATCCGGCCTAGAAATATGGGGAAAAATCAAACTCCCAAAACGAGGCCGTAAGTTGAATTGGTATATTAATTTTTATTCCGACAAAGATTCTGCCATGGGTTGAAAGATGTAAGTGATACATCTGACAAAAGTCTAATTGAATCATAGCATCAAAGAGTTGGGGAAGAAGCAGAGTTAAAACTATAGAAAATAAGGATCATGTGTAAGAACATTGAAAAATTAATAGGCAGTTTTACAAAAAGATTTCCTAGTTTTGTGTTATATTGAGAGAATATAGAGAGATTTATGTGAACATGAACAAAAACTGACTGGTTTTGAGATTTTGCAGAAAAATAGATCCAGAGGAGAAAGTATTCATTCTTCTCAATTACCTTGATAGCGAAAATTCACCCATCTTCTAATTGATATAAATCGACTGTATTTTATCATCAATTAATCTGAATCTTTATGATAATAGCCCGCTGTTCATGGGAAGTACCTAATGGGGAAATGTCGTAAAAATGGTCTTGCGTCGTTTCAATACAATACATCGTTAATAATTTATTATATTGTTAATTTATTATATGAGCTTTCTTAACTCTACAGCCCCTTTCGTTTGACCAACATAACCATTTCGGAGATACCAACCTAACAATTTCGTTGACTGATGCCAAAGCTGATTGCTTCATGAACTGCGCAAGCGCATCGAACAAAATGCCGTGCAATGGCTTTGCGTCTGTTTCAGCCTCATGTTGGCCTCTTGACACTGAAATATATTTCATATATTTCCTATTTTCATTTTCATACATATCTATTTCATATTTCATTTCTAGGGATGCCCTTCAACAAAGTTAATTTACAAGGGGCCCTAATTAAAGTGATTTACAAGGGGAATAACAAGCTAGCGCTAAACTTCAGATTGCTAAGAATGCTACAAGGCCAATCGTGCAGGCGTCTTAACAATATTTCTATCTTTGTTGCATTCAGAAACATTCGTAGCTAGCTTCTTCTATAAATGGTAAAAACACTTGGCATAGGTTGTTTTCTTCCTCTTTCTTTTATACCAAATATGAATATTGCATTTTGTAAAGGCATGACAGGCAAGATCTATTTCCAAGATCACAGAGACTGTTAAGAGCATTAAATACCAACACCACCCGTCAAAAAAGGAAACATGATGCAGTATAAATAAACAGGTTTCCTAATTGCTCATATTGATAAACATTGAAGAGGATACAAAATGACACTTACTGATGCTTTCAATAAATTTCTCTGTATTTGCAACAAGACGAATGAACTCGTCAAAATCGATTTCTCCATTTCCTGAAATGTAAAATATGCTTATAAATAAAATTATTACATCTTGTTAATGAGAGAATAAGCTAAGCTTTTTTAAAAGAGTTAACGCCTGTATATTTAAGAATGTCATATGAAGAAGTTACTGCTTTTGTGTGGAAAATCAATTTACAAATTTATTAATGAAAAACCTTTTCTAGTTGCGACAACCTGTTAAATATTTAAAGATGCAGCATCATTGCTTCATTCGTTGCTTCCTAGCAATACCTTTTGCTATGGTGTTTGACATGCTCTACATAATTGGGTCGGACGTTTTTGCCACCCTCAAATAGGGACCCGCAAATATGTAGCATTACACCAATTACTACAACCGTGGTGCCCTTTCACGACAGAAACGTAGCTTCCATGTTCATTTTAGGTTATACCAGTTGTGCTCAATCGTATTTATTTCCTTTAAATAGACTTACCGTCTACATCCATGCCATCAAAGAGCTCATTGACTTCCTCTTTTGGCAAACGAATGTTCACAGATCTGAGAGCATGGTCAAGATCTTCTGATCGAATTGTTCCTCCACCATTGCTATCAAACATGTGAAAAATTTCACGAAATGCTGGAACAAAAGAAATTTCAACCACGTTAATCATCTATGAAATAAAATTTGGTATTTTATTATTCTAGCAGTAATTTTATTGAGCTAAAATTTCAGATTTCTTCAATAATTTTTTCAAATGGCGTCTTCTTGAAATGTTGTTAAGATGCAGGCCAGATGAAGAATTATCTGTTTCAAAAGAAATAACAAAAGCTTAAAAGAAAGCCAAACACTCAAAAATATGTAAACATAAATATATATGCACAACAAAACTTTAATAGTATAATGTCAGCCAAAGTCATTTTGAGAACCCAGCAGTTTGCGTTGTTATTTTATATCTTTAAATTCTTTTCCCAAATACTACTACTCGCGTCGAGTTTAAGCAAATATCATACAAGTATCATTAAAGAAACCTTCTAATTAAAGTAAAATTATTATTTTAAAGAACTTTAAAGAAATTTTTCAACCTTCCATGTCATTCTGTCGGAAAACGTAACCACCAAAAGGGATACAAGAGGGTGGCTAAATTTGCCTCTGAAAACTGACGTAAGAGTTCAGAGACTTTTTACAGGGATTGTAGATTGCTCACCAGATACTTGCTCTTCGGTCATTTCAAGAAGGGGGTTTTCCCCATCTCCTTCTTCTACAGACTCTGAAGATACTTCGTCCTCTTTAATTTGGTTCAGATTTGATAATGGCTTTGCAATCGATGGGAACCCACCAGTCTCTGTTGGCATGCCTTTCGGCCCCATTGAGTTCCGCTTCTGTTGCCTTGACAGAGTAGGGTTTTTAGAGGGTCTCTTCTTCAGTGCCTCTGAAGTCTCGACTGCTTCTGTGAAAGTTGGTTTGGCATGCTGACTATGATCAACAGGCTGCGCTCTTCTCCGATTTATCTTGTACTTTATCGTCATTTTCTTTTTTGCTTTGGAGTTTTTATCTCCACTTTTTGGTGGATTCTTGATGCTGCTGTTCATTGTATCTACACCAAAACTTTATCTTGTCATTTTTTATCTTTAGAGAACTATTCTCATGAAGAAATATGAATTATTTGTGAACACGCGTAACCCTCCATGACAGCTTGTTCTTTTTGCATATATCTAGGATTGATTATGACGCAATATAATTGTTTACGTCAAAGTTAGACGAACGGGACATTTTTTTCAAAGGCGATCAAAACACATTGATTCCCTGTGCTCATCAAGATTACCATTGTATATAGCGGTGACAATCCAGGCTTGATGGGCTTTTATTGCTTTCATTTCCAGCTTTCTTCTCAGTTCTTCATTGTATAGCGGAACAAATCTGATGAAACAAAGATACAGAGTATACATTACCTAACTTATGATAAATGAGATATCCACCTTACGAACATTGTATACAACAAAATTTTCAAATAATACCAAATAAACGAGAAGTACGATACAAAAAATGATTTCTTTAGTTATAATTGTCCTCCTTCACATTTGTCCAAACATACCGCGCCAAATTTTTCTAAAATTAAATAGAAATTTAAAGAGTAGGGATGGTCACATTGTATGCTTTACGATGGATGTTGTATAGTCAGCTTTCATAGCCGAAATTCCGGTTTATTCTGACAGTCTATGCAGCAAAGCATTTTGACAAATTCTAACGAGTTCTAATCAAGTGCCGCAAAGGAAGTAGCAAAAGCCCCTAGCAACTTTTTAGCATTGATAAGACAATATAAATAGAATATGAAATCCTGATTAACATACTGGGATATCCTACTTGCTTAGGACTCCTTGTTTTCGTTTATCACATCCAGAAAACCAGCTTCAGATTAAAATAACAAAGATTACATATTTGTAGAGCCATTAAAGGTCAAGGGCTCGTAGTTTTCGAACTTAAGGTAACTAAATTCCGTTATGCACTGTTCTGGCCCTAGCTCAATTCATGAATCCTTGTAAGTATTCGTATATTATGTAGCAAGGGGGCTGGCTGTTAGTGCCAAGGTCCGTAGCCTATAGGTAGGGGTTCTAAAGGGGGTTGAAAACTAATCAGAATGTCAGGGCCTATTTTAAGAAATTTTTAATACTGCACAATTATAACTACATTTTTTATAGGAAATTTTGTTGTTGCAATTTTTGGAAATTTCTAGTCATTTCGTTTTGTTTCTTTTCATAAGAGAGTCTTTCCGATGGTCATACGAGATTTGCATTACATGACCTCTACATCGAACTGACGGGGAAAATTCACATTTTGTGAACAAAGCGAGAATCTGGGATAGCGGCAATTAGACATTTTCACAAATCCCAAAATTCAATACTGCACATTTTCGAAATCAATACTGCACATTTTTAAATTAATACTGAACAAAGTGTGTAATACTGCACACTAAAATAGGCCCTGCAGAATGTTCTAAGTAACGCAGGTACCTTTGGGCACTAGGAATGCTCAAACACTAAAACCTGGGGGATATAAAGTTCTGAGGGGTGAGAAAGTCATTCTGCTAGGTCAAGGGACGAATTCCTGATAGATTTAGAGATTGGGAGACTATTTGTGATTAAGTCTTTTTTCAAACTTTACGAAATATTAAGATTTCTTTCAAAATTATTTTGCTATGAAAGACAAAACGGTGCAAATGCCTACCACTGATGGTTCATTCGCGATTGTCATTGACTCATTGGTACTTTTGTGAATGAAGCACAGAACATGTGAAACAAATCCGCCTGCCATATTTTGGGTTCAGTATCCATTTACTTTTTCCAACCCAAAATCTGCCCTACAAAATATTCGAAATCTGCAAAAAGTTCTAGATCCTCGAATTCATTCCAAATCAAGTCCGTAAACGGCATACAAAAACACTTCAAAAGTACACCTTTAGCTTTGTAGGATACAATTTAAACAACATTAAGTTGTCAAGGACACTGTGAAAAGCGGTTTTCGAGTCCAGACTCCCTTTGAAGCTTGCATATTCCTGTGAAAATAAATCGAACAATATAATGAGTTAACGAATAGGTTTGATATAAAATGTTTATTATAATTCTGAATTTGAAATTACGAAAAGCTATAAACTGTGTGCATATCACACTGCTACTGAATTGGATTCTGAGAATGGATCCTTTAGCTTGATTTCATTGTTAATAGAAAATGTTTAATTTTTGTTGTATTTTATATTATAAGTTATCTAAATAAGTTGTGTTGAAATGTTGTTTCGCTGAGCATTTTCCAAACTTCAAAATTTGTTGTTGATATCTTTTATTATCAATCCATCCTACATATAGTTCTAAGTAATTGAAATACAATTGAATACAAATACAGTGCTAAAACTACATCCAGGATTATAGAATATAGACTAAAACATTAAATGATTGTATATAGGATAGACTAGCTACATATGACGGTTATTTTGTTTGATTAGCGAACAACTGCAACGCAAATAAGCCATATAGCCTTTCCAAACACATTTACGAAATTGGGCATTTTCCCATATTCTTAAGGGTATGGTCAGCAAAAATTTTCTGACCCCCTGGTGTCGGACTCCTATTTCCCTCTCCAATCTTCCAACTGATCAATGACGCCAGACGCCACTGGACTGAATGTATCCTACTTATTGAGAGCTCAAGTTCTCGTTGTGTAGTACACGTTACACTTGTAGGTGTTTGTGAAAGGCCTCAGTGTCGATAATCTGGCTGACAGATGAAAATAGTATTTTCTGTTTTTCCTGCAGCATTTCTGCCCAGCTCACTTGAAATGGTTACAAAGCTGAGGCTACCATTTTTATACCAAAGAAAAACTAGAAGGCCAAGAACACTTCCCTTCCCTGGGGTCTGGGGAACTCCAAATATTACATCAGGCCGTACCAATTTACATTGCATATTGATCAGATCTGGTATCAGATCTTTCTTTGAAAGGTTTCCCGCCAATATTTGGACGCAGACCTCTTATTGCGCGGTTTGTTGTTGTGAATGAAAGTGAAAGAGCTCGCATGTAAAATGGGAGGAAAAGAAAATTGTTTGAAAGATGAGGTAATTTTAAAAGGAAATAGTGATGGATTCCAATGCACTGAACGGTTAACAAAGTGTAAGGACGCAGTTTGCTGTATTCGGGCACTCGATGGTATAAATGTAAGGTAAGTTGATTCAGTATGTAGGGTTCTGGATGAGACGGCCTCTTGAAAACAAATGGCCCTCCTTTGTCCTGCTCACAAACAAGATGTCCTAAATGACTCTCCCTTTTAGGTTTGTAAAAAAGGATTTTATTTATTGTAGGTAAAATCAATGAATAAGTTTTGCTAAAGTAGTGTCGCATTTTAGTTATTATTGAATTAGCTATGTTTTATATTGTAAAATTTTTTTTTATAAATAATATTGTAAATGTCTTCGAAATTTATTACCTTCTCATATGTTGTAGGTTAGAAGCTTTTGTTCAGTATTGTTTTCGAAGTAAAATAACATCACACACAGATCTCTAATTACTGATGCCATCGGATGGCTATGTAAATAAATTCATGCTACATCTCTCTACAGTTTGCTAGCTATCTGCATCAATATGATCAGTATGTTTCTTTTAGGAACTCCCAAGCTGATTGTTTATCTTTCATATATGGTTGTATAAGGTTGATTATGATATTGGTTTTTCAACTTGGATGCAGCATGAACATTGCAAACTTCATTTTTATCAATATAAGGACTTATATAGTCTTACAATTTCTTAACTTTTTGTCACGAGAAAATATCTCCACCGTTATACAAGCCAGATCAAGTTTCCTAATCAATAAATAGATATTATTGTTAAGAAATTAGCGTGTAACTGAATAAACAATAATGGTAATAAAAGAAGTCTTGCTGCTCTCACTATTCAGGTTCATGTGATTAGCTAAAGAGGTCATAGAAATAACTCAGAATGATAAATCTTGCTATGGCTGCCACAAGCCAGTCTGGATTCCTTGGTTTTGGCGCAGGAAGTTGAATTATAGAGTAAATTCTACAGGGTTTGATGCACAGGTCCAGAGAAATACCTGAACAGGAGGGAGAAGATAGGGGCACACCCACAGGAGAATATCATAAGACAACCCTCTTAGATTTGCAAGGAGTGCTTCTTTTTACAGACTATGGATTTTTTACAGACTTTTTACAACATAATTTGGATATTTTATATGCTTTATTCCTTTTTTAAACTATTTAAAGAAAAATGATGGGAATAGTGCAGCTTGTAGCTGATATGGTGGTGCGGGGAAGATCATCCCTGTGCACTACAATGAATGCAGACTGGACCGCACATGCATATAAAAGCAGATGCTTCATATTTATAGATTCAGCCAAAGAAAAATTACATTTTTGTGTAAAAATGTCTAATTGTATTCTGACTGACGACATAAACCACATCAAAATTATTGAAGATTTTTCAATCAGGCCTTTACAAATAAATTTTACATAGCAAGGTCTTTCCACTTTATGTAATTTGAAACTGTACCATGTGAAACATTTTCATATTTCATGATTTCCTTGCATTTACTTTTTGGTCTTCTCAAAATGAGCATGGTGTTTGGTTTGTTCTGTCTGAAAATATACTTAAGATGGATAATAACACTCGTGTTCGGAAAAATGCACAAAATTAGAAATGTTTCTTTTGAACTTTGACAATCATATATCTAGATAGATTTAGAAATTGTGTTCAGACACTGGTAGGCCCTGATCATGCTTCCTCCTTTTCAAATGAAAGCATATCTAAATATACCTTCTTGACCATGCATGTCAACAGAGCTATGCGAGTAAAGAGCACTGTAAACTTAGCCCTTTATGTCTCTTAGAACCCTTAGGACTTTCTTTGTTTTGCTTATATTGTTTAGGAAAATTGCCTTAAAAAACTTACAATACAGGCAGTCTTTTTGCAAAAGGCCTGTATTTAAGCCCTCTCTGTTAGCACCTTTCTGAATATGTCTCTCCATTTTTTATCTTTAGGCATGGTACTGGATTTTTTGCCAAGCTTGACATCAAAGGTGTTGAAATGAAATGCATTGTAACTAACAATCATGTTTTGCCAACAGAAGAGACAGCAAGAAATGGGAATGCAACTTTTTATTATGAAGGATCAGCCACAGGCCTAGATATTAAGCTTGAACCAGACAAATTATTTTATACACATCAGGTATCTTAGCCTTGTTTCTCTCTTTCTTTCTCTTTTTCATTGATGTAATGTTTTTATTACAGTGCTGTTTATAGAAATTGCCCGATAAAGGTTGTCAGGAATTTTTGGCAGAACTAAAGTTAGCCAATGAACCATTTTTTACCCTTGAAATTTAGCCTTTCTTCAAATTTCTATGCAAAAATTTGGAAAGATGCAATAGGGTTTATCTTTCTAAATCTTTTCAGATGAGGTTTTGTCAAGCCCCCAATTTTGTCTGAAATCTCCATACTTTTCAAATCCCCAAATGCCTTTTATTGTAATATTTATTTTTTATTAGCTCATCACAAAATTGCCATTTCCATATTATTATCATTCTCAATCATAGGCACTCAATTGCCAAAACCAATGAAATATTGAATGTGAAAGTCCTGATAAATTTTTTTTTAAATTGTTTTTACAGATTTTGGATTACTCACTCATTGGATGTGATTCAGACACAATTGAAACTTCATTGTGCATAACCCCTTTGGAGTTTGTCAATATACAAGGAAACATAGATGATGAAGTGTTTATATTCCAGCACCCTTACGGAGAGTCAAAGAAAGTATCTTACCAAAAGATTACTGATATACAACCACCATTTGTATTTTACAAAGCAGACACTGATGATGGATCTTCAGGATCACCAGTGTTTAAGAAATTCCAGCTTCTTGCACTTCATTCTAAAGGCTGTCTACAGAAATACAACAAAGGGACACTATTTTCAGAAATTATCAACCACTTGAACTATGGGATATGTAAGTACAATCAACGGTAGAGCAAAAATGTTTAATATGTGCACGCATGCTGACTAGATTCGCCTCCTCGTGAAAGTTGTGTCGTTCTGTCCCGATTCAAATGATATAAAAATGTATGAGAAAACAAACCTTGAATTTTAACCTTCCCTCTACTTCATTTTTATGGAGTCGAAAAGATAAATTATCTACTGAAGATACATTTATATCATTAAATTAATGCTTTAAAAATATTTATTAACCTCTTCGTTGTCTATTCTACATTGTCAAACTAAAGTATCCTATGCCTAGGCCTATTATCAAGCAAGGAGGGAAATATGAACAATTTAAAAATTAAGTTTCAAAGCGTTTTCCAATTTTTTGCCACTGAGTATCCAAAAATCCAGGCATGGTGGAAATTTTTCACGATTGTTAATTTAAATATGGAACAAATCTTTCCACGTTGACCTTGCCGTATGTTGCTTTTGTTCAGTTTCCTACTCTTATACAAAAATGCCAAAGCAATTTCAAAATCGAGGAGAAAACAGCTACTTTCATTCGTGACCAATTTATTTTAATGAAAAACTTTCATGAAAATACCGCATATCGCAAAAAATATGACTGTTTTAACTTATCAGTCAATTGCCCCCAAAATTTGACAATCCTATTGTTAGGTATCTTTGTGGTAAAATTATGAACATGTTCCAATTTTCCGGATATGCCAACCGATTTCATTTTATTTTTTTGGATCATGAAAATGAATCAATAGAAAAATCAGCTATTTAACTATCTTTCCTTAGAACTGACAATTTTTAATCTGAAAATCCCAATTCCATATCTATGGCGATACGAGACAGCTATTTTTTTGGGCTTTGCTATTATAACAGTCTTGTTCTTCTTTGCTGATCAATCATATATTATCAGTTTTAGTATGAACACTCCAAGCATTTTCCACTGCAGTTTCTTGCAAGCTTGTTAATGCATGAGGAAAAGATTGACATTAACATCTGTCATTTATTCAAATCCCTCCTTTTTGAATCATTTTAACATGTTTTTCTCACCATGACACACATTTGTTAACCCAGCCTGAACTTACTTTGCAGACACTGAACCAAGATTGGGGCATTTAGATAGAACATATGAAAGAAAGAGGGAATCAACAAGCAGTAAGTGCTTTTGTACATTACTTAGTTTCTAATGAATTCAGTGTCACTCCAGGCTTAGACATGTAGAATAATCATAGCCTATTTGTACTTCTATGGTTGCTGCTAAAGACAATTAGAGCACTAACAGCTGACTTACACAACTATGATAGACAATTAAGAAGACATGTCTAGGTCACAGATCAAAAGTTGTCATTTTCAAGGTCATTTGGCTTTGTCAGTTTAAACAAAGTCCCATATTAAGATTCTTCTGCGTATTGCTTTAGCCTAGCAAAAATGGACATGATTAACAATATTCACTTTTCTCAAGCAAATATGTCAAAACTTTGATTATGAAGTTAAATGCATTTGGCATACATCATTTTTTTTCTTTTGTTAGCTACTGTGGATCAGACAATTAAGCACGCCATAAATAGAATCTTTCAAGGGGTAAATATTTCCACTTTAATGATGGGACCTGTTAAAACTCCAGTACCACAAAATGATGTATTACACACTTTATTCAAGTGGGCTGGGTGGAAAATTTCCTAATAATTTAAGACAGCATTTAGTAAATATTACACATTGGTTGAACTGGCAAAACGAAAATAACAAAACGTTTAAAACAAATTTGATATGTATAAATCTAAATAAGGCATAGTCCTTCTTTCATAGCCCTTTTTAGGTAAACATCAAAGCTGGCAGCAATTGCCATTTTCCAGTTGAAGAAGGGTTCACCTTATTGTGGATAACACATCCTTCAATCAGGAGCCCTCCCCAAAAGATCTTTTAAAGAGAGGTGATATGTTGAGATTTCTCATTTGTTAATATATTCTTTCGAAATTTCAGTATTGGGTGAACATGGTTCAAGAAAAAAATCTAGACGGGAAAACCACAATCCGCAATGCGAAATAAGCGGGGAAAAGGACCTAAGGTTAGAACCCAGTGAAAAGGAGCTACAAAACCTAGCAAAGGACTTGATAAATGACTGGAAAAGTCTTGGGAGAGAGTTAGATGTTCCAAACAAAGATATTTTAAAGATTCATAAAGACAACATTAACTATGACGATATTGTCGAAAAAGCATTTGCTATGCTTCTGAAATGGAAAGAGCTCAAGGGCAATGAGGCAAATTTTGAAATCTTAAAAAGTGCGTTGATAAACATTGGTCTCGTGGCAACTGCTGAGAAACACTGTTGAACTTCTCAGACTAAGACAGGTTTAGTTGCTTGGAAAGTGAATTTCGAAAGTACCGGAGAAGTATTGAAACTTTAGCGTAACAATACGTTTTTCTCATCAGCCTCACTCGAACTAAATGATGTATATATTGTGAAAAGTGACTCTGTCTAAACTGATTATCTTATAAAAAATTAATGTGATTTTATCCAGGCAATATGACTTTTAAGTTAATTATCTTGAGATTCTTTTCTTGGTGTACACCTGCATAAAATCTGACCCTTAAATACCGGGGGTTTATATCTTAAACCAGTTTATATCTGAAGAATCTTAAGTTTGAATATTCTGCATTATGTAAAACATTTTCGAACTCTGTCGTTTTGGTTTTTCTTATGCTCTGAGGTTGTCCACAAACTTTGTTATGAATTACGTCATCTTTATGCGATGTTCATTCAAAAATAAGCAACGAAATTTCAATCAGAATTTGCTATTCAACATTTGTGTAATTGTACGGGAAAGTCGTTATTTTATTTGCTAATATAGCATCAGTTCTAACGGGGTACGTACAGGCTGTAAAAGCGTAAAAGGTTTTAAAAACTACGTTAGGGCTCTATAGTTCTATCGTCTGTGGCTTCATGTAAATTGTCGTTCATGTGCACAATATCTCCTAGTTCTTCCTTCAAGTGCTCTAAATCTGAATGAGCTGTAACGAATCTTCGCATTGCGTTATTCAGTTCTCCTAGGCTTCTTGCAGAATCTCGAGCGTCTTCTTTTGTATCATCTTCTTTTTCTTCTTCTGGTAAAAATATTACAGGAATAGCGGGGACAGTATGGTTAGCGAGTCTACTGTTAACAGGTGGAGTGGGTAGCTTAGGGCTTGGGGCCCCAGCATCTTTTGTCAAGTGCCTGAATATCTCTTTATCCCTTGGGTTAACATCAAATCTAAGTTCGTGGTCTTTCTTCTTTTTCTCGAGTATTTCCTTCATTGTTTTATTATGATCAGCGCTCGGGTGTCGTTGAAACAAGCTTGTCTCATGAACCTTTTTGGTGTTTATGATATTCATTCGTGGCAGTTCGCTGAATTCCGATTCCCAGGTCATAGCTTTGAAACGATTTTTATGCGTAAAAGACACTCTATGTCCAACACTTGGAATGCTCGGAAGGTGATCTGGGTTCCGAATAAAGTTATAACTATCAGTAGTATCATAGCTATGCAGGTTGGCTGCAATCTTTGCGATTTGCTTGTCTTTTGTGCTGAAACTACTTACATCAGAAAACCTATGTTGTGTAACTGGCCTGCGTTTTTTACTACCAAAGGCAAGATTTTCTCCTGAGGAATGTTTCTCGTCAACTATTGTGCTCAACGCTTTTGATGCATCTTTCTGTCCTTTTACTACAGCGATCGGATCTCGTGCCTTTTTGTCTAAACGACTGGCTGCCATTTCAGCCTCAAACTTTCTGTATTCGTTGATACCGTCATTGTCTCCATTATTATACTTGTCTCTGCTTGCTATGAAGCGTCGACCATATTTTTTGTTTTCTATACGAGCTATGGCATTTCTAAGATTGCTTTCCTCAGTCTCAATTAGTGCTTCCTTCATTTGGTGCAGCTTTTTGAAAAAGTCACCGTTCTTTTGCAGCCTTTTCTTGTCGTTTGACAGCCAAGAGGGCCGGCTTGGAGCTGACCAACTCATCTCTGTCATATATTCCCTGCTATCGCAAATCAACCTGTTTGAGAAGATACCGCACAGTCAATTTAATAACGTCAGCTTTATTTTTCATTCAAAATATTAATTCGTTCTCCCTAAAAAAGTGCAACATTTTTATGAAAACATTATCCTTTTGAATGAATGGAAACAATAAGATTTTCTAAGTAATAAAATGCTTTTTGTTTACTGGCGTAGAGAGATGCACAAAGCTCTTGATAATGATTGTTTTCTACGAGTGATATTACCGTACCGTGCTTCTGGGGCGTGAATTTCAGAATTTGAGCACCAATTATTGGTGTGATTCATTATGTTGTGAAATATGAACTTCGTAAGCATAAACTTAGCAACATATTACCATATTGTGTTCGTCTTTTACGTCAAAATACACATGAAAACTGTATGAAGGTTCTAATGTATTTACACTTTCATTCTAAGCCTCATTTAAAAAAAACTTTTTTTAAAGTAGTAAACTGTTGGTAATCAATCATTTGGAATGATGTAAGAAAAAAGACAAATAATAAATTCTTTATGGTGTTCCTGTTTCGTTTTGTTTCACAAAGTAAAAAGAACCGAACTTATATCGATTTTGTTTTGAAGAGCATCTCCTTAAAAATTTCTGTTCAGTAAATTGGTACAAAAAAACAAAATATTTTGCCATGCTAGATTGTGATTGGAGAAATGTTCCAGTGGCCCGAATTTTTATTTCAGACTGCGAATGCTTTAGAAAATTTTTTGAAAATCTTTTAATAGTGAGTCTGTTATATAGTCTGTCGTAGGAAATTCCCATCTTATATCTAAGCAGAATTATAACACAATTATTTTTGCCTATTTATATTTCAATGTTAAAAAGTGTTGATTAATGTCAGATG